TTCTGCTAGAGAAGAAAAAGGAGGAAGGGGAAGTCTCTATTACAATATAGGGTACACTAATGGTGGAGTCCTTGTTAGTGTTTTTGCAGGACTGTCCTCAGAAAATTGTTTAAAAATATTGTTGAATATTAAATGAAACCTCACTTCTTTATCCAAATTTTCTTCACTCTCCTGGGCTCCTCTCACTTATGGAATGCTGTATTTGTAGTTAACCTAGTGCAAATGCAGGGTGAATCCTCCTAATTGCCTTGATTGAAATGTATTTCTCCTTTCATGCTTAGTGTTTAAGGCTGTGTTTATGCTTTTCTTTCTTTCTTTCTTTCTTTCTTATTTTTTTCTTTTTTTAGGTTTTTTTGAGACAGGGTTTTGTTGTGTAGCCTTGACTGTCCTGGTTCGCCTGCTTCTACCTTCCAAGGGCTGGGATTCAATGCATGAGCCACCACTGCCCTCACTTTTAAACAATGTCTTAATTAGACTGGTTTTGAACTTGTGGTTTTACTGATCTTCCTGCCTCAGCCTCCTGAGTGTGTGTGTGTGTGTGTGTGTGTGTGACCCATGCTTGACCATTAAATGCTTCTTTTTCCCCAGTCCTTGAATTTTAGTTTATTAGATATAGTCTGCTTAATAGTTTTCTAGAAGAGGGGCTAGCTCTCTTGGGTATCTGGAAATTACTGCTTACAGTCCCTTGTACCTTTATTACTTCATGTAACATTTTGAAACAATATTAATCTAAAGTGGGTTAGATCCATAATGAAGTTGGGAGAGGTTTCACTGTTAAAATTTTGATACCAGCTGTACAAGGTACTTAGTAATACTGTGGAAGAATATTTCATGCTGTGTGTATATACTCAGTACTCCTATGTAAACTCTCGGGTAAAATTTGACAGCTCTTTAAACATCTGTTTCATGTATTTAATTTTTGCAGTATTAAAGATTGAGTCTAGGGCTTTGTATTTGTTAGCCAAGTGTTCTACTCTTGCCTTATGTTTCTAATGGACTAAAGATTTCATATTTCAATAATACTTTATAAGTCAGATTCATATATGCCAAAATATATTTTAAAGTAGAATTAAATCTTTAGAGAATAATTTTAATCTAAGTACTAATAAGGTGAACTGGAATTGTTTGGATCATGAGAGGCCCCTCAGCTGTCAGTATTTTCTGTACTCTAAGTTCTGCCTTTCTTCTATTGGAATTTAGTAACTTTAAAGAAGACAATTATAGCTCTGTGCTATAATTAATTAGTTAATTATAACTAATTAACATCAGCTATAATTAATCTGTTTTTAAAACCTACTTTTAAAAAAAAGCAAAGCAAAGCTCTATTATGTCCTTTTGGTGGGAGAAGTTTCTAGCTTTTGCACCATGATCCTTGAACATGTCAGACAAGTGTTGTGTGATTTTTCTGCACTCAACCCAAGTATGTTTTTTATTTGACGACTCTTTTGTAAGATGTAATACTTAGTGAATTATTTAGTGAACAAAATGATGCTTATTTTTTATGAACCCATATATTTTAGTCAGAGCCTTGCCATAGATGTATGCTTCCAAAGAATGAAGTTTGACAAGGCAGTGGGGTTCTGTGGAGTATAAATCTGATAGCATTCCTCCTAATGCTGTCAACCACTGAGCCATCTCTCCAGCCTACCAACATTGTATTTTAATAAAAATAATATAACTTATTCTAAATTCAGAGATCTTTCAAGTGGTTCTAGAATAAAGGTCTTATATAAGGAAATATCTTGCCGGGCGGTGGTGGCGCATGCCTTTAATCCCAGCACTCGGGAGGCAGAGGCAGGCGGATCTCTGTGAGTTCGAGGCCAGCCTGGTCTACAAGAGCTAGTGCCAGGACAGGCTCCAAAGCTACAGAGAAACCCTGTCTCGAAAAACTAAAAAAAAAAAAAAAAAAAAAAAAAAAGGAAATATCTTAGGTAAATGATGGGAATATACAAGTTTGTAAAGTTACTTCCCATTCTTTTGTTGTTGTTGCCGAGAATGAAATTTAAAGCCTTTCACATAGGAAGCACATATTCTATCACTAAATTGTACTGCAACTTCTGCTTTTTGTTCTTGTCTGTTCACAGGAATAAACACAACCAGGTATAACTAAATTCTGGTTAGATGAGCATCTTAGGGTTTCTATTGTGAAGAGACATCATGACCATGGCAACTCTTATAAAGAAAAACATTTAATTGGTGTCCACTTATAGTCTCAGAGTCTGTTATCTTCATGTCAGGACGTGGCAATGTGGAAGCAGACATGGACATTACTGGAGAAGGAGCTAAGAGTTCTACGTCTTGAACCACAATCAACAGGAAGTGAACTGTGTCACACTGGGTGAAGCTTGAGCATAGGAGGCCTAATCCCCGCCCCCCCTCCCAACACACACTGGTATACTTCCTCTATTAAGGCCACACCTACTCCAACAAGGCTACACCTCCTGATAGTGCCACTCCTTATAGGGGTCATTTTCTTTCAAACCACAACAATGAGTTTTTGAAATTTTCCCGAGAAAAGAAGGCATATTCATCTTTAAAATGTTGTAATAAGCTTAGTTTGTCCATAAAAAGACTGTTGTTTACATTATGCATGTATTTTTTCTTTTTCTTTTTTTTGTCAAGTACAAAAGTTACTGCCTTTATTTAGTGGGTAAATAATAAGTGAGGAAAGAGATTCCCACTTTTCTGCTTGAGAGGAAGAAAGGAAGGAAGCAAACTTGATGTGTTTGTTTTCAGAAGAAGGTGTTCAGTGTTACAGAATGTGTATGTCCTGATGTCCTGTGCAATGCACTGCTTTTCTGCTGTTTCTTGGCTGCTCTCTTGCTCCCACTCTGCTTACTATCTCTTACCAGCATGCAGAGGTGCCACCACAACCTCAGTCTTCGGAGTGAGGGATTTACTGCCAAGAAGTGTGATTTTTAGGGAAAAATCTAAAACCCAAGTCACCTTTTGAAGAGAGATCAGTTTATGGATGTTATGCTCGTTCTCCTACATCTAGACACTCTTAAAAGTGGTCCGTTAGCTTTTCTCTGTATATTTACATGTTCTTGCCTGTCTGTGCACGCCTGTCAGCCATTACCACTTTACTGATAGCTACTAACTTTATACTTCTTGAGGTTTAATATCTCCCACCCATATTTTCCTGTTGCCTCTCATTTTTATGCTTAAGTTATCCTCATGCATCCTATTTATTTTGCCTTCATCTTTTCTAGTGTGTCTACAATCACCACCCCGTGCTTTTCTCATACTTAACTGCCATGGTTAGTGAGTTAATAGCTTCTTTAACTTTAATCACAAAGCTTTGTGATTTTTGTTATCCTTGTATGCTAGTTAAATCATTAGTTACCATATAGTGGTTTACCTACATGTAACAAAGTTTTTCTTTTGTTTCTAGAATTTGCCTTGATTTGCTGTTTCCAGGGCTTGAATAAGCTTTTGAAATAAAATCTGTGCTTCTACTATGTGAAATAGGATTGTATTATCTCTTTCTCATATTTATGGATTAGATCTAGAGTATCTAATTGTCATGGTGTCTAAACACAGAAAATGTAACATCAAGAATTTGAGGCACAGTGACTTAAAAAAAAAATCAGTCTCTTTACTCCAAGCCCTTCATGTACATCCTCTTTTCCATGCCCGCATGCTCACCTTTCTGCAACTTTCATCAAATATTTATTTTTGTTTTATGTCTCGGTGTTTTGCCTGCATGAAAGTATATATATGTACCACATCCATGTTGGGTACCTGTGGAGGTCATCGAGGTGTGTGGATTCGTGGAACTAGAGTTACAGATGGCTGTGAGCCACCATGTGGGTGTTAGGAACCAAACTCGGGTCCTCTGCAAGAGGCAACAAGTGCTCCTAACAACTGAGCCAATTTTGCAGCCCTGTTTGTTTGTTTATTTGCCTTTTTGAGACATGTTTTCTCTTTGTAACAGCCCTGGGTGTCCTGGAACTTGCTCTGTAGACTAGGCTGGCCTTGAACTCAGAGATCTGCACGCCTCTGCCTCCAGAGTGCTGGGATTACACACATGTGCCACCACTGCCTGGTTTAATTTTTAAACATATCTTCTAGTAGCCATATAGAGGGAACATTTTTTATCCTGTGAACTCTGCTCATGCTGTTTTATGCCTTTGTCCTAACTTGGTTCCTTAACCTTGATTGTCTTTCTTAAATTCTGCCTGCTTAACATACATCATTTCTTCAAGTACTTGCTCGGAGATCTGTTCTCTGTTGCCTTCCTCCTTGTGGCCAGCACTGTCTCCTAGGAAATTAATTCCATTAAGAATATGGCTACCATAGTATATGTATTTTCTGAAGAGAACTGTAACTATAGAGTTAACCTTCTAAAAATTATTTTGGTATCTGCTTTATTTGTTCATACTTAAATATCTGTTGAAGGCTTCCTAAATTGTGCCAGGCATTTGAGATGGAGGCACACATCCTGGGAGAAGAATAGTGGTGTTTCCTGTAGGACTAAGGAGGAAATATAATGAATTGGAGTTATGAAAACTTGCAGTAAGAACATCTGTCTCTCAGTGTAAGACTCTAATAACTGGACCAGCAGAGTCCTTGCCTCTTAGCAAGAACTCAGGCCATACTTGTTTAACTAAATAAAGATCCAATTAATGCTTTTTTTTGTTACTGAAGTAATAAAACGCCTATTTAGGTTGTTGGGATGTCATATTTTTTTTTTCTGCTATACTGACAACCAGTTGTTCATGGTAATCAACAGAGATGGTATTTGCAAAGAGGATTGGTTCCCATTACATAGAACAGATACGTGCGTGTTAAATGGTGCCTGTTGTAGTTCTAAGGCTTACTAAAACTCTCTAGTGTGTTATTTTGTTTATAAAGTTACCCTCAAAAGTGGATCCATAAGGTAGACAAATGTCTGTGAAAAGTGGTTTTCCTCCTTTATATATTTTATTGTATTATCCTTTCCTTTCAATATAACTTGCCCTTACCCCTTATCCTCCACACCTTTTTTGTTTTTGCAGTATCTCTTGCTCCTCCTCCTCCTTCCATCCTACAGGTAACTCCTCAGTTACCTTTAATGGGATTTGTGGCCAGAGTCCAAGAAAATAGTAAGTTTATGTCTTCTTTATGCTGTAGTTCAGATTATAGGCATAGCATGTAATTTACATATGACTGACTAAATAGTCATTCACAGTGCTCCTTGCATTTGGATAGTCATTGTAAGAATGGCTAGTGGTGATGATAACGTAATAGAGGTGGGCCGGAGAGAGAGCTCAGTGGCTAGGAGTTTGCTCTGCTCTCGCAGAGGACCTTGAACACCAGCTCCAGGAGCATCCCACGCTTCTGCCTCTGCAGATACTGGCACTCATATGCACTTCACACTTCTACACATAATTAAAAAGAAAGTTAAAAGACAATGATGGGAAATTTCTATGCTTTCAAATGACTTTTATAGCTCAGAGCACATGCTTATTACATGAGATTCCAGATTTGGTCCCCAGAACCATAACTAAAATACCACTACTGATACCCACAAAGTTTTAAAGGTGAAGCAAATACACATACAATAGTATAAGTGAAAGAGAGAAAAACTGCACAAGGAGATATTCTGATTGCCAAATAAATATCCTGCTTTTTTTCTCAGTTGCCTAGACAAAGTGGTAGGCTAGTTGTTACTAGAGATGTGTTATGGGTAGCCTGAGTATATACCTCTCTCCATTTCAAGTATAAAAAAGGACCATGCCACAGTAGGGCATAGAAGATCAGTCTGTCAGTTTGTCTCCCAAAAAGCATAGACTGGCAATGAATTTTCTTTGGTTTGTGGTCTGCTGTTGAATCATCATGCATTGTCATAGAACTAGTTTTATTGGTATTTTAAGTCTTTTGGGGAAGCATTAAGGAAGCTCAGGAGACTTTATTTCTAAATTGGGAGGCCTGTGTTAACATTTGAGGATGAATGGCTGTTACGGAAAGAAATTAACAGTCTCTGTGATAGGTGATTAAGGAACCAAATTAGCCTAAGGTTGCATGATGTCATGTAATCTAAACTTAGAGGAGTTACAGTTGATTCTTGAATAATTGGGGTTTGAGTTGTTTGATAGTAAAGGACAGACAGACAAGACTATTTTGCACAGCTACAACACATTTTAATAATAACATCCAGAAAATACCCATAAATCTATTATAAAAAGTTAAAGTCAAGCATAAAAACATTGTATCAAACATTTGATAATGTCATTTATCAAAGTCAAGCATCAAAACATTCACAGGTCACACACGACCTCTTCTGTAGATGTAGTATTGTTGAGATGGTAGCTGCTTTTTTTCTCTAACACTTTGTCGTCTTCCAGCACTGTTGTGAACTCATGTTGCAGATCTGCTTAGAATAGAGAGTTAGGCTAATTATCCTTGCATTCCCAGTAAATTGTCTATTAAGGTAAAAAGTGTTCTCCTGAGGGTGGGGTGCAGCTGGGTTGGTAGAGCACTTGCCTAGTGCAAAGGCCCTAGTACTAATTTCTGCCACTGGGTGGTTGGGTGTTGAGAGTGATTAATTGTGATCTCTCATAATTTTTTTTACTGTATATAATATGTGTGACAGAATAAGTGTTAGTTGACTACTTAGCAAGGCTTCCTGTCAGTAGCAGGCTATTAATAGGTTTCTGGGAGTCAAAAGTTACAGGTATTTCTGCCGGAGAGGTGGGGAGAGGTGGTATAATCTGTGCTTTTGTTCAAGGGTCAAAATGTGTATTAAGATAGTCATCAGGCTGTACTTGTCCATCCCTGGACTAGAAGTAATTACTAGAAGTAATCTCTTGCTAAGATTCTCTGGAAGTAGGCATTTAATAATACAGGGTCTGTCGGAGCAGGGGCTTTGATCACTTGGTTTGCTGCCTGTGTCCCTGGCACTTTGGCCTCCCCCTGCCCGTTTTTTTTGTTTTGTTTTGTTTTGTTTTTTTTGTTTTTTGTTTTTTCGAGACAGGGTTTCTCTGTGGCTTTGGAGCCTGTCCTGGAACTAGCTCTCTAGACCAGGCTGGTCTCGAACTCACAGAGATCCGCCTACCTCTGCCTCCCGAGTGCTGGGATTAAAGGCGTGCGCCACCATCGCCCGGCTCCCCTGCCCGTTTTTGTACTTTATGTTTGTATTTTAACTGGTTGTAGTCTAGTCTGGGTGCCCATCTAAGTTAGGGTTTCTGTTGCTGTGATACAACACCATGAGCAAAAGCAATTTGGGGAGGATAGGGTTTATTTTGTTTTTACTTCCAGCCGTCAGCCCATCACTGAAGAACCTCAGGGCTGGAACCAAGCAGGGCAGGAACTTGGAGGCAGGAGCTGATGCAGATGCCTGCTCTTCATGGCTTGCTCAGCCTGCTTTCTTAGAGTACTCCTGACCATCACCCACACTCCGCTAGGCCTCCCACATCTATCACAAATGAAGAAAATGTATCACAGACTTGTCCCAGACCAGTCTGGTGGGAACATTTTCTCTATTGATGTTCCCTCTTCCAGAATAACTGTCTGTGCCAAGTTGACAGAAAACTAGCCAGGGATAGGGCCCAAGGGTTGAATTTGTCAGGTGCCTTTGCTCTCCTATTTGCTGATGTCTAAAAATAGTTTGTTTATTATTTCTGTTTATTAGAAGGTACTCTATGAACTTTAATGCATTGTAATTTTAAATATGTAATTTTAAATATGTTTTCTTAAATTTAAGAGCATTTTCATTTATGTCCAAGTATTTCATTTTTTTATGTTTCAAAATTATGCCTTTTCAACCTACTGTTTTTTTTGGCTTGTGTGTGACCCATGCTGGCTTCACGAGAAACATTTGCATAGCAATGGTCAGTAGGTCTAGTGTGTGCCAGGTACAGCCATAGTATTACCCTTTGCCAGACTTTGAGGTTAAATGTAGGTTGGAAGATCCTGCATTTAAAATTTCTGGAAATAGCAGACTGATTAGAAAAGGCTTTTTGGAGTTCCAAATTTGGAGGACTTTACAGTTTAGTTGCAGTGTCATCCCAGTAAGAGTGGCATTCCCTGCATCACAAGTGAGTTTAAATTCCTCGAGTGAAGAAGAGAGTCAGTGGAAAGTTGGTTTGTTTGTTTTTTTTTCTTTGAATCAACTGATATGATGAACATTCAGATTTTGAAACTGGCTTTGAAGATTAATAATCTATCAGAATATTTTTTTTTCTTCAAAAATTGGACTTGAAAGTTAAGTAAGATCATGAAACTAGTAATTAACTTTGACAAGTAATTAGTGAAAGTTGTCAGGTTTGTAGAAACATTAAATATTTCATGAGTAGAAGTAGTGTTTTAATGTTATTTAAGTACATATGTGTTTAAGACTTGCCGCTTGAATGGACAATTGTAAAACATTATTATAGCACCACCGTTAGTATTTTAAAAGCCGTTTTCCCTGTGTATGAGGTATACTGGGATTGGCTTAACAGTCGTGGCAGGGCTTATACATTCAAAGAAATGTTATTTTCTTTAAAACATGCACCTAGGAAAGATGTGTATCTTTGTTTTAGAATCATCTTAAGATTTCCTAGGCATTATTTTAAAGATAATCTGTGGAAATAATATTTTTTGCATTAAATTTAATATGTGGAAGAGTCTGGAATCACTTGCAGTATTTATTATTTAATATATTAAACTACTTACACTGTGATAAAATGTGCAAATATACCCGTTATTATTTTTTAGAATTCTCATATGACACTCTGTTGACAGAGGTTTCTATCCCTCCTGGTCCTTTAGCTGTTCAGTCCCAAAGAAACACATAGATTATTATAATAATATATTTATAATTTATAATATAATTATAAATCATTGGCCTCTTAGCTCAGGATTCTTATTAACTAACTCTTACATCTTACATGAACCCGTTGTTCTAGTCTGTGTTAGCCATATAGCTTGGTACCTTTATCAGTGAAACAGTCTCATCTTGCATCCTCTGTGTCTGGGTAATGACTGCAGACTGAGCCTTTCTTTCCTCTTCCCAGAATTCTTCTGTTCTCACTGCCCTGCCTACACTTCCTGCCTGGTTGTCCCGCCTATACTTCCTGCCTAGCTACTAGCCAATCAGTGTTTTATTAAAACAATACAAGTGACAAATCTTTACAGGGTATAAGACCATTGTCCCATAGTACTTCTCCCACCCCCCCCACACACACTTTTTTTTTTAAACAGAAACTCTGAATCTAATCTCCTTTGTTTAGCTTTCTTCCTGACCATTATCCATAACAATTTGTAACCAACGCTCTAAACAAAGACACATCCATAATCCAGTTTTGGGGAATGTGGGTGAGTTTTCCAGGCTACTTCCTGTTGATTGGGGGCACTGATAATCTTATGGGGACCTAAAGAAAATTTAGGATTATGATCAAGTCCTGACTGAAATACTCTGTGAGGCTTGATCATCTCAGCCAGCACTACTGAACTGTTCTAGATGTGTCAGAGGAAACCCCAACAGAGGTCCTCTGAAATGTTGGATCATCTGGGCCGTCTGCTCCTATTGGAGATTTCCCAGGGGGGGTCTTCCTTGATCAAACCTGACTTTTCTTAACCCAGAATGAATCCACAGGCTCTGGTTTCCTATGGAAACAAAAGCAAAACCTCTCCTCTAGAGTAACATATCTTTTTGTTTAAAATTTAAAGTCAAGGCATTTTCAAAATATATATGTTGGATTGATCCCACAGCATTTACAATCAAATTTCTTCTAGCTGCTGTTGCTTTTACCTCAGCCATCAAACAATTCAAAGACAACATAATAATACACAGTACCCAGATTCTCTGTGTATTTTCTATCTGAAAGTGCCTTTATTTTAAACTTTATTTTTAATTTTTGGTTTTTGGAGACAGGGTTTCTCTGTGCTTCTTTGGTTGTCCTGGAACTCACTCTGTAGACCAGGCTGCCCTTGAACTCACAGAGATACACCTGCTTCTGCCTCCCAAGTGCTGGGATTAAAGGTGTGTGCCACCACGCCCACCTACTCTTTTTTTTAAAAAAAAGACTTTATTCTTTTTCCTTTCTCTCCTAAGCAAATATGCTGTAAACCATTTAGAGGTTTTCTTCGTTTGAATCTATCCTTACTGTATATCTCTCATTTCTGACCACATGAGTCATTGCTAAGTGATATGTCTAGGATTAAAGCCATGGCTTTGACAACTGGCTCCACCCCATTAGCTTTGTGAGAATCTAGCTTCATGGCAGAGGTACTGGCAGGAGCCCTGTTTATTGTCACAACTCTGTGGAGTTTCCAGGTCCCTGTCACCACCAGGAAGCATGCTGTTGGCTTTTCCTCAACACCATTTAAGTGTTTTGTAGCAGAGCTGTTTAAAAGGCTGCAAGATTTTTGCAGCTTATGCTGAGTCAGGAAGCCTCTCTTAAGATGCACTTGCCTCTAGCAAACAGAGCCCATCCAAGAAAATGCTGCTACCAAACAGCCATGCTTAACTCGGTTATTTTTGTGTCTAGAATTCCTTCTCAAACTCTCTCAGGTTTTATGTGGATATAGTTGTCCATGTTGGTGCCATTTTTTGACAGAGGTTACCGTCCCGCCTGGTCCTGCAGCTGTTCAGTCCTAAAGAAATACACGGGGGCCTACATTAATTATAAACTGGTTGGCCTATAGCTCAGGCTATTTATTAACTAATTCTTACATCTTACAGTAACCTATAATTCTTGTCTTTGTTAGCCACATGAGGCATTCTCATCTTGATTCCTCTGTGTTGGGGTGACAACTGTAGACTGAGCCTTTCCTCTTGCCAGAATTCTCCTATTCTGGGTGCCCCGCCTTTACTTCCTACCTGGCTACTGGCCAATGAGCATTTTATTAAAACAATATAAATGACAAATCTTTACAGGGTACAAGACCACATTGGCACCATTGAGTACAGCCCAAACTCAGCAAACTTTTTTGTTCCAAGTCCTTTTAGGCTTCCTCCGCTGTCTAACTTTGAATGATTCTCTGAAGCTTTCCTTCCTGCTTTATCTATGTACTTTGAAAAAAGATACTTTTATTCTTTACAATCAACTTGAATGTCTATTCCCTATTCCCCATGTCCTGCTACCTCCAGACATTAACTTGACTCATCCTTCAGGTCTCAGGAGCCTTTTCTGCCCACATAAAGAGTTTGATCTCTGGTGTACACTGCTATAATTTTCACTCTACTTAGTTATAAATCAAAATTTGATCACATTTTGGTGACACCTGTCCACCATATTCTTAGTGACATTTGCCCACCTTCCTCTCCTTAGTGCAAAACTCATTCCTAGTCACATGAGGCTCTTGGGTGGTATTTACCTAGTGATGATGAAGCATTACTTAAAAACTACAAATTTTATTCCATAAGTATAGTGTAGCTTCTAAGGTAATAGGCAGAGGGAAGTCAGGTGCTTTTCTGTCTATTGTTATAGGGACATTAATCTTCTTTCCACCTCCACAAAATTAAAATTAAAAACAACATCTTGGCTTGGGGTATAGTTTAGAGGGTTTGCGTAGGATGTGTAAGGATCTTGAATTGAGCCTTAGAATCACAAAAATGTAAAAATAAAGAGAAAAATTAGGTAAAGAATATATTTTACAGTTCCAGCTGAATAACTGGCATACTGCACAAATAAAAATAATCTGGCTCTGAGGATTATAAAGAAGGTAAAAATGATCAGAGTTGGTATTTTGAATAATTTATAGCATAATTTCTCTGATTTTCCTGAAAGTCCCTTGGATCTCTGTTTCTGTGTACTCAGTCTCTTATAAATGTACACAAGTTTCACTGTTGTTTTCACACCATTATATGAGAAACATTAAATTTGAAAATTTGAATAAAGGATATATTAGGAGCACGAATTTGTGATTTACATTTGTAAAGACCCTCCCCCCAGTCCAAAACCTAAAAATCTTAAAACATAAGACATAAGTTCAAGGCCAATCTAGGCTACATGGTAAGGCTACCCTGCCATCAAGAAAATAAAGTTCTAAGCCAATAGGAGTAAAGATTTTTTAATGAGACACTCTTTATAAAGTAGGTAAGTACAAAATGGAGGAACACTGAACTATCGAGGATGGTGTTGGTACGACTGATTGTTCAGAGAATTTCATGTGTACAGTTTTGGTAGTTTATAAGTAAGAGTAAGTGTTGATGATTAAAACTGAGTAGCTGGTCAATGTTAATTTATTTTTCTTTGTTGTGTTCAAATATGTATCAAGAATTTCAAGAGTTCTCTGGGTTTGAAGATGATTTTTTTTGTTACATCTACAATGTGATGAGACTGATTCTAATAATATGGACATGTAGTCTCAAGAAATTTTAAATAATGACTAATCCTGAATTAGTTTAAATTCTACAAAGAAACAAAATGTTTTATTGACTCAAGTTATCCTAAGTTGTTAGTGATTTTCCTCCTCAATTCGGTACATTTCTGTTTACTGAGAATTAGACTGCTGGTGTGGGAAATCCTTATAATTCCAGTACTCGGAGCCAGTTTGGGTTAGAGTGGGAATCTGAGTATGTATGCAGAAAACTGAGAACAAAGTAGTAGATTGTAAAAATTTGACTATTTCTTTGACTCACTTTCTTTCTTAGGTGATTGTGACTATCCAAGTTATTAATATCTCTGATAATTCCTTGACTAGGATATAAAAACCAAATATATAGTACTCATTTCTTTAGAAAGGTGATTAAAGGTTGTGGAGGCCCCATTAACAATATTCTGACCAAACCCCATTCGGCATCCACCAACACTCAGACAAAGGAGGGAGAAGTTATGCTTGGCAATTTAAAATATCATAATGGTGGGAAAATTTCTCTTATTCGTTTCTTGAAAGATGATTATTTTTGAGTATGGGTTTATACTTAATGAATCTAGAAACTTAGATGAATATTGAACTTTGCATGATTTATAGTTTGTCAGCTTGATAAATTCTTAGTTTCAGATACACCCCCCCCACCCCCGCCTGTGGAAGAGCCGGTCTTTGATGAGTCCCCCCCTCCACCGCCACCTCCAGAAGATTATGAGGAGGAGGAAGCAGCTGTGGTTGAGTACAGTGATCCTTATGCTGAAGAGGACCCACCGTGGGCTCCAAGGTCTTACTTGGAAAAGGGTAAGTGTCAGGAGGGATCTGAAAGGACAAAAAGCAGAAATGAGACTTGCTGGTACAGAAACGAGTCTTGTTTATTTTTTATTTTTAAGTGAAACTTTATTTATTTGTATTATTTGTTCCGTTTTTGCTCTTCTGTCAGATTATAAGGATTATGATTTTGAAGGCTATTGGTAAAATTTTATTTCTGTCACTATTGAACTTGGTTTTTCCAAATGTTTGTATAACACAAAAATCAAAAAACAAGTAGTCTTTTCTTTTGGAATCCCCCAAAAAGATGATTATTTTTCCAAATTATTTCTATCCCTGTGCTTTCATCCATCATCAGCAGCATTATTATTTTAATTTTTTCCTCTTTGGGAAGCAGTCTCACCAGGTAGCCCATGTTGCTCTCTCTTGACCCTTCTTTCTCCTGCTGGAATTAAAGGTGTGCACCGCTGTGCTGGAATTAAAGGTGTGTACCACTGTGCTGGACTTCTAGATACTTAATTTTGAGTTATTTCTATGTGTTTGATTATCTCCATAGGAAACTTTCTTTTAAAGAATGATGTCTCAGTCTCTTCTGTAGAATAGTGTGTGTTGTGTGTGCCTGTGTGTGTGTAAAATTGTCTCTGTTAGGTGACCATGACATTCCATCTTGAACCAGGAGCTTCAAAGTTTGGAGAGTAATCAACCAGTTGAGCTGTACATGGTGGCTCAGCTACATGGTGAGGTCCAGGTCAGCTTGGGCTACAGATTAAGACCCTGCCTCAAAAGGAGAAAAGAAAAAAAAAAATCTAACTAGATTAGAATGGGGGGAGAAATTTGTTGATGTAGAAGGAAATTTTCTGTTAAAGAAACCAAAGTAGGCACCCACTGTGTCTCAGAACATGTTATAGAATCGTGTTTTACTGTTCTATTGACGTGATGAATCAGCATGACCAGGCAACTCACAGAAGTTGGAGCCTTACCTACAGTCTCATGGAAGTTCAGAACTTCCTGGTCTGGCCCCTGTGGATACTTCATGCATTTGGTACATAGATGTACATGTACATAAAATAAAGTTAGAAAAACTTTAATAAAAGCAGGTCAGTAAGTTTAGCCAAATGTAGGGAGTGAGTTTTGGCTCAAGTACCATGAAGCAGAAACCATTGGGGGATTATTGGAAGTTATCTACCACAAAAACTATAAATTCAGGGTATCAAGAAGTAGACTCCAGATAGAAGAAACAAAGAAAATCTTGCTAAGGCCCATCATAAATAACTAAAAACTACTAATAAATAGAATGATATTAAAGATGTTTAGCGGGGAAATAACTCTTTACATAAGAAAGCAGTAACAGCATAGTTTTCCTGCAGGTCGGAGGCAGAGCATCTTTAAAGCAGTGAAGGAAAATGTCAGTCTACAGTTCTTTAGCATAAACGCCGTACTTGTTATTGTTACTATTATTAACTTTTACTTATTTTGAGACATGATCTCTCTATGTAGTACTGACTGTCCTGGAACTCAGAGAGATCTACCCGCCTCAGCCTTCCAAGTGTTGGAATTGATGTTGTGCACCGCTACCGCACAGCTAAGTATCCATTTTTAAAGATCTTTTGATACAGAAGGGATATCAGATGAAATCTCAGGTCTACAAAAGCAGAATGAAGAGTAAATGGTAGGTATATGGGTATACACATGTTCTTCATATTTTAAACAGATATGAAAGTGACTTCACTGAGACAAATAATGGAAGGGAAATCCCCATAAAGTTTATAGACTGCCTGTGACCTAGTGTATCTTAAATACCCAGTGCATAAACATGCCTGACTGTGTAAATAATGTAAGCTTTGGAATAAGCAGTAAAGACAGAAAACAAAGTTTAGACTATATGCAAGTAGAAGAGTTGAATAAAATAAAAATACTCAATCCAAAGAGTCAAGAAGAGAACAAGTGATGAGACAGAATTAAGGAAAGAGATCTCGTGAGTCCGTGCTGACGCACTCTGGAGCTGAGAGGACAGTCTTTGGTATCAGGCTCACCTTCAACTCGTTTGAAACAAATTCCCTTGACCTTTGTCATTATGTAGGCCAGACTAGTAGCCCTGCCTCCGACTTTCCACGTTGCTGTGGGAGCCCTGGGACTGTAGATGCGCTGTTGTCCTGCTTTGTGCGTGAACTTGGGTGCTGACGACTTTACTCACTGAGTCAGCTCTGCAGTCCAGACAGGTTGGGTTTGAATATACAGCTGTAGTTGGAAATACAGCCTATACATGTGTGTATTGAACAGCAAAGTAGTTAAAGGATCTCAAATAAAAGTTGAGAGTTGGTCTCATATATTAAGACCAAATGTGTACATCACTTATAAGAAACCCACTTTAAAACGATACTATTGGAAAAAAATAAAAGAATGTTTATCAAAAGAAGGCTAGGTTAGCTGAATTAAGGTCAAAGATTTCAGAGCATGAAATATTATATACAATAAGAGACAATTCTTAAGGATAATTGAGTTATTTCATTAAAGGAGACTTAGCAATCTTATCTCTATAAAAAATTAAAAAACACTGAAAGAAAAAGTACAAATCATAATTTTAGTTAGACTTCAGTATTCCTGCTTATATCTTTTTACAAAGGAAATGGTAAATCAATAATGCTACAGAAAGACATGAACAATGTAAGTTTGCCTGTGAGAAGTATGGGGTATTTCATCAAGCAATACATAATGTAAATTCCTTTAAAATACCAAATTCATTTTTGTTTATATAGATTGTATTTTAGGCTATAAAAAGGCTCTATAAATAAAGCTTGAAATGATAGAAAGTACACTTTTGACCATAATAGGATTTCTCCTGTTTATTCTCTCTCTATCACCAGCCCAACCAGTCCTTTCTCCTGCTTTGCTTTTGGCCATTCAACTCCTCATTAGACCTATCAGGTGTTTTAGACAGGCAAAGTAACAGCTTCACAGAGTTAAACAAATGAAGCATAAAAGAATGCAACATATCATTGCATCATTAAAAAATATCCCATAGCATAAACAAATGTGACATATCTTAATATTCTACAGCACATACCTGGTACTAGGAGCTGAACCTGAGTTTCTAAAAGAGCAGCCACTGTTCTTAACCACTAAGCCATAGTTCCAACCTGAGAAATTTATGAAGAAAACTTTACAGAAAATAGAAACGGAGGCAGTGCATCTGATGAGCTATGGAAAAGGGGTGAACTGATAAAAGCCAAAAATAAAATCCTTGAAAGTATCTTGTAAAAATAGAAGCTGGGCATGGTGTCACACACCTTTAATCCTAGCAGTAGGGAGGGTGACAGGAGGATCTTTGAGTTCAAGGATAGCCAGAGTTACACAGTGAGAACCTGTCTCAAACAAACAAATAGAAAAATTTTTAGAGTTTTCATTGAATGAGATCTAGCAGTGCAGGAAATGGATAATAATAGATTGTGACTAAGTAAAATTTATTGGGATGCTTGATTTAACATTTGAAAAACTAACCTTTGTAATTTTCTTCACAAATTAAAAGTAAAAATTAAAGGTAAAAAATATTTTGTACAAAAATACTATCTGATGATTCATAATGAAAATTCAAATGTAAGAATGAAAGGGCGGCTTCAGTCCAATAAAAGGCATCAATTTAAAACCATCGACTAAACTAACATTGTGTCCATGTGAGAAGAATAAGTATATCCCCCAAGATTTCAAGCCCTACCCACTGCAGCAAAGAAGGAAGTCATCAGGGTGTAGATATTGGGGAAAAGAGCAAAAATGTTTGAATTTTTCTCTTGAGGAACTTAAATATGTGAAAAGAGTTGATAGAATTAAAAAGCAAAATTATTACTAGTCAATATGGAAAATTAAGTGGTTTGATGTACTAGCAATAATTGAAGATTGAATTTACAAAACCTTTGTAATATCAAAATTATGAAATACTTAAAAAGTCAGTAACATACTTGGGCATGCTAGGGCAGGAAAGCCTATAAGCCTGCTTATATGGGAGGTGGAGTGAAAACTTACATCTTAAATTGTAAGGAGTGCCCCCAGCTTATTTAGACATGTTTGTAGGAAAGGTGTTGCAGCTCTGAAAAGCTAATTTAGTTATTCCTTTAGATAAAATCACAGTGAAGTTTACTTTAAACACAATCAAGTCTTCACTGGGCATGTAAAAATCTAAAGAGGCTTTCAAAAGAAAGTTTTATGTTCAGCTAATTCTTTAAAGTCTAAAAGAATATGCTCAATATTTCTAAGGTTAGGTTCTGTTAATATTCAATCTTTCAAAGCAAAGATTAAGGTGTTGTGGCACAGATCTGTAATCCCAGCTCTCAGGTGACAGAAACAAAAGGATTGCACCTCAGGGGCTAATATATATATATTAGATTTTCAAGACGGTTTCTCTGTAGCTTTTTTGGTTCCTGCCCTGGAACTAGCTCTTCTAGACCAGGCTGGCCTCGAACTCACAGAGATCCGCCTGCCTCTGCCTCCCTGAGTACTGGGATTAAAGGCGTGCGCCACCACACCCGGTGGGGTTGTGTATTCTGACTTAATTTGGGTAGAGGCAAATTTTTGTTTTGTTTGAGACAGGATCTTACTGTATAGACCAGATTGACCTTGAACTCCAAGATCTACCTGCTTCTGCCTCCTAAGTACTGGATTAAATACCTTAATACCCAGACTGACAGGTATTTTTATGTGTTCTTTTTGTGCCCGTCACAGCACAAAACTTATTAATAAACTAATAATGATTTAATTGAGTGTGTGTGAATCACCACATTTAATGTGACAGTACTTTCAGGTACCAAATGTGAGAACTATTGTAATTCCCACAAAGTAGTAAAAAAAAAAAAAAAGCTTGGTAAAAATTAAGTAGGCTTGTGAGCTAGGAAGTGAGAGTTGAGATTTGAACTGTGTCGCTTACCCCTCTCCCACTGTCCTAAACTTTGTGGTTTGCCAGCTTCTGCGCTCTATTTACTAGCATTCTGTGTGGTGAATGTAGGACTGAGAAAGGCCAACAAAGCACATTGTTTCTCAGATATTTCAGAGCTTTCAGAGTGACCTGTTACAAACCAAATAATGCTGTTTTTAAAAGCATTTGTTTTAGGATGTGTTAGCTGATATCTCCATTTTAAGGCCTGCAGAAAGATAGGCGAGAGCAATTTGACTTTCAGAAAGATTGGCTTAGTAAAGGTCAGTTGTTTTTGAATGTCTTTTCCCCTGTCATCCAGATTGTTTTGTACTTTTTAAGTGGAAGGGTACAAGGGAACCAAGAGCCATTACTTGATTGATGGTTGATCATAATATCATCAGGAAGTAATGTGCATAAGAGTTGAAAGTCAAGAAGAGTCTAGAAGTCAGTGCTCATACTGCTTCCAGGTACTGTTGAAAGGCTGGTAAGGACAGTGACCATGGTGATGAGGAAGTGCTGTGGGAATTTGGTCCATAGCCAGTTGTATTGGGGTGGCGTGGTCCAATGGGTATGGTCTTCTCTGGGGATACATGACCAGATAAGAACCATAGGGCAGGAATTCCCACAACAAGAAGTGCTTCTGTTTCAGAGATTCATGGAGTAGAATTTTATAGGGAAAGTATTAGGGGAAGGCAAAACAAACTCCTGGTTTCCTGGCTCGTGTAGAAATTCAGCGAAACTCAAGAGAAATAGAAGACACTGTTGGTAGAAACTGGAGGGGGAGGTGTCAAGAGGGGGAGCCTAGGTAATCATTGCCAAGCAGTACAGGATGAGAGGACTAGGGATCTCAAAAGGACCAGGAGGTTTATTAGTTACTTTTGTATGAAGTTTCATTAGCCTTGTGGGGGCAGAAGAAACATAGCTTCATTAACAAAGGGGTATTGTTTTCATAGTAGCACCATCCACAGTAAATTCTGAAATTTGTTTTAGCTGAGATTGCATTGTTAAGAGGTTAAATTTATTAGTGATAATGACAAAGTCAACTTTGGTTACCTCAGGGCAGATTGTACATCAGTTCCAAAATATCTTGGATAGGGTTTTACTGCCTTATGACAAGCCTTCACTCTCCATGTAAGTAAAATCACCTCAGTCCACAACAAAATAATACAAAAACAAATGGAGATGGGTAACTTGGTTACCTTCTGATTTTTTTCAGTGTCTTCCCAATTGCTGACATTTTACAGTGTCTTTGTTGCCTTTATCAATATTTCTCCAGACCATTCTCACTTACCTTCAAATGTATATTTGTTATACTTATTACTGGCTGAATATAAATCTGTTTTAGATGTCTAGTCCTTGTGTTGTATTGGGAACACATGTGTGAGCAATATCTCTAGTTTTCAGTATGTGATGTTTGTTACCTTTATGAGAGAAAATAGTTGAACCGTCTCTTTGTCCCACCTTCTTCCCTCCGGAATTCTCCTTACTCCTCCTGTTTTCTTTCCCTCTTCTGGTCTTTAACACTGTTCATATTAAATTTAAAATGAAATGTTTCATTTTGCTTAGCTAAAGTGTTTCTTATAGTACACCCCACTGGGGTGCTGTCCTTAGAATTTACAGTGTTTTCATGTTAGTACAACAATTGAGAGAAAATAACAAGCACCATTAGTTTTTGCTTACAACTACACAGAAATAGCCAGATGTCTAACATACATGTTTTATATATGCCTATGTTTCCCTGGAATGAAAATTGGTAATTTTAAACAGCATTGTTTGGGAGAATTAAAAATTTTAGTTGATTACTAATTTTGACCCTTAAAAAATAGGGTCTCCTGTGCTACTACAACCAGAGTCCATGGACTCATATTTGCTATTAACTTTTTCTGAGGCAATTCCCTTCCCTCTCTTCTTCCTCTTCCTCTTCCCCTCCTCTTCCCCTTTCTCCTCCTCCTCCTCCTCCTCCTCCTCCTCCTCCTCCTCCCCCTCCTCCCCTCCCCTCCCCTCCCCTCCCCTCTCCTCCCCTCTCTTCCCCTCCTCTCCCCTCCTCTCCTCCCCTCTCTTCCCCTCCTCTCCCCTCCTCTCCTCTCCTTCCCTTTCCTTTTTCCTTCCCTTTTCTTTCCTTTCCTTTTTGTTGGAGGCCGTGCGGGTCCAACACAGACAATTATTTCCCCTAACTGAACTGGTACGGAGTCGTGAGGAATAATCAGACACAGTTTACACAGTCATCATGGAAGGGCATCTCAGGGTCTTTTCTCCTGATGATCTCCTGAAGAACTCCCGTGTTTATTATCCAAACAGTTTATATACCATCACCTCAATTGAGTGGGAAAATACATTAGGCTATTAGGTAACCAGGTAAATGGCCTTCTGTCATGTCCTTATCTGTATGCTAGCTGTCACATAGGCCTGAATTAGCATCTCTATAAGACATCCTCCAAATTACAAAAGAAATAAGCACCAAACATCCTGACCAGCTTTAGCCAACACCTCTCCTCAGGTTATCTACATTTATAACAATAGAGAAAGAGGAGCAGCACATCCTTGGCAATTGTTACGCAGAGACAGCTTGTCTGCAGAGCTACATGGCCATCTCAGATCGGGCTTATGGCTTTTGTGCCATACAGAAATATGGGCCTACACCCTTTTCCTTCCCTTCCCCTTCCCTTTCCCTTTTTCCTTTTTCTTTTCCTCCCCTTCCCTTCTTTCCTTTCCTTTCCTTTCCTTCCCCTTCCCCTCCCTGTCCCTCCTTTCTGCTGTACACTGAACCTTGGGTCTTTTTACCACCAACCTACATCCATAACTTCCAGTTTCTATATCTTAAAGAATGCATACATTGAGTGCAATAACTTTGTGTACTAATTTACTCTGTTGCTACAAAGTATAAAGCTAATTATCTTCTGGATTACTTTTTATTGGGTCCATTTTTCTAAGTACCAAGAATGTTACCTTTTCTTAAAAAAAAAAAAACTAGAAAATATTGATTGGCTGGCAATACTAAACACTTTAAGTCTAAATTTCTTATACCTAAACTTGACATATAATTTACACTGAATTGTTTTTAGACATTTAGTGATATTTTGAGAAACACAATATTGACTCTTCTAAGTTAGGCCTCTGTAAAAGTATTTTCTGATGTCCTCAATGTACCCCAATAATAGAAAATAATTATGTATGAGGGAAGCGAATAGATTTTTTTACACAAACGGTCCAGAAACACAGGGCCCAGGGCTCTGTTAACTGGGATACATCTCAGCTCTCACGTTTTAAGACAAGTTACAGTATATGCTTAGAAAAACAGCTGGAGATATTAAGTTTTAAAAAATACATGTATTTATATGTGTGGGTATGTACATATTATGCACACATGTGTGAGTGCCATGGTAGAGGTCAAAGACAGTGTGTGGGAGTCCATTTTCTTCTCATATGTGGGTCCAGGAATTGAACTGGGTCTTCAGGCTTGGTGGCAGTGCCTTTACCCACCAACCAACCATCTTGCTAACCCAAATGAAGATTTTTTTTTTTTTGAAAAAAAAAATTCTTTGTGATACGCAGAAAATACACGGTGTTGGAACAAAGACTGTCTTAAGTGAATGTGAGTTAAGTTATAAAACATCCCATTTTATCAAAATTCTTGAGGGTAGATGTAATATTAGGAACTAGAGATTATCTGAGAGAGAAAGGTTCAAAAGCCCATTGCCAAGTGATTTAACCCATAAAAATCATAGAGGAACGCACAGGTGTCCTGGCTTTCTTCATTCTATTATTGTGGCTGTATTAAATTGGAAATATAATGCAGTATATGTTTTGAAAGAAAAAGTGTATGTAGGGCGGAAGGGGCAGGGGGAGGGAAAAAAAGTGTATGTATAGTAGACTTAGGTTGTAGGAATTCAGTCCCCATTCACCAACAGGCAGAGTCCAGAAAAGGAGACGAGGCCCTGCTGTTCCTTTAGCCTATCTCATTTCTCAGTTGCCTGATAATATATCTCCAAACAGTAGTGTAATATTTAAATATAAACATTTGTTTTTATACAATATGTTGCCTTAGTATAAGTTTAAGTGAATAGCTATCTTTCATGATCCTTCGATTTCTTCTCTGTAGTTGATTTTTTTATTGAAGGGTAAGTTTAACTAAACATTTTTTTTGTTTGTTTGCCATTTATACTAGATTTAGAACCTTTTTCTAAAAAAGGATGTTTGATTGTATTGAACTGTTTAAAATTTATATTCATGTGTTTTAGTAATGTTTAGAAAGTTGCTATGTATGAGTGCTTATTGGCTTTGTCTTTCTAGGACTGGTATTCTCATTCATATCCTATTTTGTTTTCCCCTAGTTGTGGCAATTTATGATTATACAAAAGACAAGGAAGATGAGCTGTCCTTTCAGGAAGGAGCCATTATTTATGTCATCAAGAAGAACGACGATGGCTGGTATGAGGGCGTTATGAATGGAGTGACTGGGCTCTTCCCCGGGAATTACGTTGAGTCCATCATGCATTACTCAGAGTGAAGCTCAGCACAGCTGTGCGTCCTCTCAGTCAGGTCTTCCCAGATGAGCTAGAGGCCCTGGGAATTTCCTCCCAGTGAAACAAGTGAAGCATACAAATGATGGAGTTATTTCTTTTTTTCTATGTTTTGGTTCATCCCCTAGTATTAAAAACAAAAAAATCAAATTTGAGTCTGAACAAATGGATCTTCTTGCTGTTATTTGCACGACACTGTCTGGATTGAAAATGTGACCATTTCTCATTCTATGGAAGGCATAACAACATGAACGTAGAGCTAAAACAAATCAGACCAAGACTGGCTTGAGAAAAGTCTGGGCTCTTTCTCAGGAATACTGTACACCCTTGGATTTCTCTTCAGAATCTGTGACATTGGATATTCATTGCCTCTGCCTTGGGGTTAGTCTCATGTCCCAGTGGACACCCGTGCCCCTTACTTTCTTTCATGCGAAGAGGAAGGAATTAGTGTTTAGATACCATATTTAACTACTTTTTGATTGTTTCAAAGGCTGTTTTTAACACTGTAAATCCTGTGTTCTCTTAGCACTGGAGTGTGCTAGGTGAGTTAATACTGAACTCCCTTGCATCCTGTCCTATTTGTAGATCGTAAGGATGACAAATGTGAGTCTCCAAACATTCCCACACTCCCAAACAGTCCCCACAGTTTGATTTTAATGTACTGTTGCATGAGGCTGCATTGCTGATAACAGCCAGTGAACCTGATATGAAATGTGATCCATACTTGTACTGAGGTAGAGGACTGGACACAAAGCTACCTAAGGCTCTGAAGGGAAGAGCTCCAGCCTTTGGCCCTAAGTGCTCCTTCAGGAAGGACTTAGGTCAGGAAGTCAGACCAGTTATTCCTGCCCTTTTGGTATTTAAAAACATTTTCTCCTTTTTAGAAGAGACTTGGTGTCCGGTCTCTTGACAGTCACTGGATTGGGAATGACAGGTGCTGCTGTGCCCTTGGATTGCTGTCGGTGGCGGTGTTAGCTGATGTGGAGTCATTTTTATTCTCTCAGCTCTAGAACAGATTGGACTCTAAAGTAGACAATCCTAGGAAGATCTGCACCTCGTGATTCAGACTCGAGTGTAGTGTAAAAGACAAAATACTTAACCCAGTCACTCTGATGAGAGTCAGTATGATTCTGAGATAATGGGCAACTCCCTCACCTACGATTAATTTATATTTAGTGGTGTTTGCACATCTGGTGGCTTTAACAATCACATCTGTGATTAGGGGTGTTGCTGCCCAGAATACCATGGTGACGGGCCAGTTTGTAGTTAGAACCAAAGCTTCCCTGTGGATTCTTACCAGTCCCATGAAAAGACCAGAAAGAATCTGACCTGGTAATTTCACCTGAAGGCTTAAAAGAGGAAATAATCGCTATGTTTAATTAAGATGCAGGCCTTGAATGTCCTGGATAGTGATGCTAGGATAATTTGGTTGAAAAATGAATAAGTGTTGTAGAAGGGAAGAAAAGCAGGTCGTACAGGCATAAGCTAACTCCACTAAGATCTGTTATCTGAGCTTTGCTGTGTAACTGAGACTCAACCAGTTTCTTGTCCAAGACTTGTTTTTTTTTGCTTTAAAATTGCAGGATTTTGTTTGTTTTCAGACGTGCTGTTCCTCCTGCTTTAGCCTCCCAAAACTAGGATTATAAGCAGGAGCATCATTAGAATATTAGGCATCAGCCTTTTTATCTTTTCTTTTTTTAAACATTATACTTCAGCCATTATACTTTTAGATGTTTCTGAACACTTTGGATTCATCTTTAACATGCTTCTAGTATACTTTCCACTTGATGCTTTTGTTAGGTCATATTGCCTATCTTCAGGATAATGTCCCTGGATGTCCCTGGAACTTTAGCTCCATTACGGGCACAGCAAGACCATATATGCACATGTTTAACTTTGCTTGTATTGGTACCTGGAAACTTTTGAAGATAGTTGCACTAATTATTTATTTAAGTAGCCATTTGCTGAGCAAGCTTAGTGGATTCGCAAGATGATGTTTGGAAACCCAGGAAAGAGCTGGTGGTGGGCAAGGAATACAGCTTACCTGTTGAGTTAAGGTTGCAGAGAACACTTTGTGCTGGATACTTGCACTAGGGGAATCCACAGGTCAGCTGATTCCTTCCAGTTGTATTACTGAGTACTGATGCGATTTTACAAAAACAAAAAAATGGAATCTGTTGAATTTTTTTTCATCTTTTGAATTTTTACAATTTTGAATTCTATAAATTGTCTTGGAAGGATAAACTCTGTAACAGTGAACTAGGCCTACAGTAATTGGAGACTTTTAATGTATGTAATATTTTGTAGATTGCATGCTATTAATACTGTGAGGTTATCTCCTATTTTATTGTAAATTTTCCCATTTATTTGCCCATAAACTAAAATGCAGTTGATATTAGAAATTTTAAATGAATGTTGAAACTTTGCTGACCAATAAGCAACTGCTTTTCCAGGTCACAGGTGCTTTTAAGGCATTGGTCTTCCTTGAGATTTCTGATTACACTTAAAAAAAAAACTGGATATTTGTCTCTTTTTTGCTATTAATATTTGAAGGTCAGTGGATCTGAGTGAAAATACATTCTTGTGCTTGACCTTATAGCCAAGGCAAATTAGAAACAAAAATAGTGCCAATGTTTTGAAATCTAGATCCAAGGGATTTCAGCCTGCTGTGTTTGGAATAAATATGAATTTTTAAAGATGTCTCCTACAGTATTTTCCTTTTGGTTACTTCCTTCTCTCTTCCTAAGAGGCACCTGCTGTTCCCATGTTGGGATTGGTACAGGACTGCTGATTTTGCTGTTCCTGAAAGCCGCTGGGTGGCATCTACCTTACCCTTACTATTGCTGTGTTGCCCAGCTAGAGCCTGGTGTGTGCATCCCCACAGTGGATATCTGCAGTGTAGTTGGACTTATTAACAGTTTATGATGATTCTTATGCATGGGGCATCAAAACGTTAGCTTGCTTTTATTTTTCACTTTTCATTTTCTTTAAAGATCACCTTCCTGCAGCATAACTCATGTTTTACCTTATTACCCTCTCTCCTTATGGAGAGAACATGGTGTGTCCTGAAGGCCATCTTTACTTCTAGAAAGGGCTTTGGTGAGGAAATGATTGATTGTTAAATCTTTGAAATGAGTGGGAGTTGTTTACTTCTGAATAGTTTTGACCAGGAACTGATGGGTGTGGAGGTGACATTTCTCTAACACTGTTAATTTTGGAACTCATAAGCCTTAAAATGCTTGTTCCAGTCACTTTAACAATGGGGTTAAATGCTTTGTTTCAGATAAACAGCTATTTAGTTCTTGGAACTCAGTCTTCTCCCCAGTGTACCAACTGCTGTAATTAAATGTGCTTTATTTTTCTTTAGAAAGCAACAGTTCCTGTTTTTAGGATGACACTTGAAAAGATATGCCATGTTTTGATAAATAACCACCCAAGTATTCCCATTGCTTCAAGCCTAAGTGCAGCCTGAGTAGAAATAATCATTTACCCTTCGAAAACTTCACTCGGAGACACATTTCCATACAGCGGTGTAGTAAGAACGCATTATATTTAGTTCTACACTGGCAGAAGCAGAGCGGAGAGAGCCGTAACAAAGTCACTGAGTGGAGGCATTGAGCTTGCTATCTAATTTTACTTTATGCTCTTTTTTTTTTAATTGAGAATCTCTATTAAAAAAAATGAAATGACAGGGCATAGCTGTGTAAATGAACCTTGCTAATAAATATGTTACATTTTTTGTAAGACAAAAAGCTTATTTTCACATTAAACTGAAGCCTCTTTTGCAAGTCCAGAATTCTACGGAAAAGCAGTTTTTAATCATATTTTGTGTCCATGTACTTTTTTTCTTAATGAAATGGTTTACAAAAAGAATGTCAACAATTTATGATCTGGCCAGTTAACACTTTACAGCTCCCAGAGAGTTGGTGGTACTGAGTAAAAACCATTCAGGCAACTTGAGTGGGCAAGTGTTGCCAGTAACATTCCTTATGTGTGCTATTGAGCACCTCCAGAAGAGTGAGGGACATTCACCTAATTTTTAAATTGTATTTGGAATAATTACTGCTGTGTACTAAGAACTTGACCCAAATAAAAATCACACGAAGTATATCCCAGTGTCTTGGCAGAATTATTTATGTATTCACTGCTTCTTTCTAACATGGTTCTAAGCATTGATGGTACTATTCAATTACTTACTTAAGGCTTTGAATAGTGTCGAACCTTTAATAAGTTTGGTGCCTGAAATACTTTAATTAAAAAACTGCTTTTTCCAAATATACCTAAGTTTTGTTAAGTGTAAATTTTTCCATCATTGGAATGAGGTTGATTAAAAACATAAGTGTTGGTTAAGATCCCAGATGATAATTTGACTACAGAAGTTTTCTAGTGATTTGTCTAAGTAGTAAATGTAATCTCCAGAGTGAGGACACTGCTCCAGCTCTTGCTGCCTTACAAGTCCATAGTCCTCACTGCCTGTGTCAGTTCCATGGGAAAAGCTCATTTTCAAAGAATGTTCTCAAGAAAAAGATTTCCCTATAAATAAAAGGGTCCACAACTGGTAGCATTGACAGATGATGAATAACTTTTATTATAGTGTGATGATAGTCAGGTGATTTGCAGTCTGTAACTAAACATATGCCACTTGATATGGCAGTCCCATACATAATTGTACTTCCAAGTCATTGCAGGGGTGGAGGAGGGGGATCCTTTTTGGCATTAGTTTTTACCCAGTTGTACTCTATACAAAATAAAAAGATCAAGGGCTAGAGAGATGGCTCAACAGTTAACAGCACTTAGAGAACTTGGGTTTGGTTTGTAATCCCACATGCTGGTTCACAACATTCTTAAGTTATAGTTCTAGCTCATATACTCAGAAAGGCGCTCTCTCTCTCTCTCTCTCTCTCTCACACACACACACACACACAATTTTGTGGGGGTAGGAGGGGTTTTAAGACAGAATTTTTCTTCTGTGTAGCCCTTACTGTCCTGGAACTCTCATCAGTAGACCAGGCTGGCCTTGAACTCAATGAGATCCACCTGCCTCTGCCTCCTGAGTGCTGGGATTAAAGCACCACCACTGCTCATTTTATCACTGCCCATCTTACAAATATATTTTTACACATTTATTGTATATGTGTACACAGGCAGAGGATGACTTGTGTGAACTGGTTCTTTCTACCCACCTGAGTTCCAGGGATTTGAACTCCTATTATCAGGGCTCTTGGCAAACACCTTTATTCTTCAGCCCTTAATCACTCCCTAATTAGTAATATTTAATGGCTTGTAAAGAAGCAAAACACTCTGAACTGTAGTTAATTCTCCTATAATATTTAATTTATCCTGACACAACAAGCTTTAAAACCAGGTTCTTTGAAGAATTTATTTTTATTATTATGCATGTATGCCACACGTGTTCAGGTGCCTTTGGAGGCCAGAAGAGGACATTGGATCCTTTGGAGCTGGAGTTATAGGTGGTTTTGAGTTGCCCGACGTGGGTGCTGGGAACTGAACTCTGGTCCTCTGGAAGAGCAGAAAGCATTCTTAACAGCTGAGTCATCCCTCCAGCCCTATAAAACCAGGTTCTTAGTGGTATTCATCCAGAACACTCAAAATCCTTGTGTTTAAATGGAATCTATTTAATTTTTTTTAAATTAATGATTGGGCTTGATGACATAAAATATGCAACTACAAAAACAAATTTACTCTGTCTATCCGACCACTGTCCTAAGCCATTACAACAGTTTATGACAAGTGGCAAGTTATAACCCAGAAACTTAATCCAGCAGAACAAAAATCATCATCAGTAGTACTGAATGAATATATCTCTTTCTCATATATGTGTGTATATATATGTGTGTGTGTGTACAGCTTTGTACAGTCAGGGAGCAAGGCACATGATGAAATGAGTGTACATTTATGCAGAAGAAAATAATAAAGGCTGAAAGAAAACCACAACTTCATCTTTACCAAATTGTGCATAATCTTCTGAATAATGACCTCTTTCGGGTACATTTGTTATCGTCATGCCTTAAAAAGTATACTATTGTATGTATTATGACAAAATTCCCACAGCTAGAAGTCAGAGTGAGCCTGGACTCCATTTTTGGGGGAAAAAACCAAACAAACAAACAAAAAAAAACCAGGGAAAGGAGACAACAACCCAGTGAAGACAGCAAACAGTATTTTTACAACACTTAGCACAAGCTAATCATATTTTACCTTATTTATCTCTGCTCTGGAGAAAGAGTTCACTAAGTGGCTGATAATAAAACTAAGCAAAGTCATTTCAAACATTCCAATTAATGCTTACTTTCTAGGGGGACTATTTACAAATACAGGAAAAACTAGGAGGTGGAATATGAAAACCAGCATTTTTGGTATTAAATTGTAACAAATTTAACGAATGGATAGTTTCTAAAAATGTATTCCCTGTTTCCCTTGTCTTCCTAAGAAGTTGATGCTTTAACAATCACTTGCTTGAAATTCATAGCTTATAAACAACAAGCTCCCAAATTTGGCCAGCTCTTGACTTGAGCCACTTCTCTAAGTATCTTTGGTAGAAAACAGACTCCATTTAGGTGGATGAAAACTTCTCCTGTAATACAAGACAGTCATCCCCCTCCATTTCTGCCAAAAGTTCAGAAATACTTACCTGTCCCCTCTCTTATTAGCACCTCAAAGTTTACTTGGTTGTTTTTGTTGTTTTTACATGCGTTCCTCTAAAGAGTTCAAGGCACTGGGGATTATAGCAGACAGCTGTCTAGGATGGTTTACGTCAGAGCAAACCAGAGCCCCCTGCCCTCCAACACATTATATTACTTAAATTTTAGTTGTCTTTTACATATCAACCCCTAAGGGCACTGCACACTTTAGTTTTGATGGTAGAGTATTAAAGGGTAACATGTTTTCACTAGGTTTTCAAAGGACCATCTTGAAAGATGGTGGGGTCCCCCCCCACCTTGCATTTCCCTTTGGGTCAACTTTGAGAGAGGTCACATATAACAGATAATAAAAAGTTAAAAACTTAATGGTTCAAAAGATTTTTGTAATTTGAAAAGGACATTTTTGTTTTAAAAGAAAGCCATCTTCATGTATAAACAAAAACAATTATCCGAGTCTTATCGAAAGCCATTACACAACCATACAGGGCATTGTTTTACTTGTTCTAAACTGGGGTAAAATCTGGAATTTCATCAGTTATATTGCTAGTTTTGGTGATAAGGAAAATTCTTTGAATGGGTTTATTTGCTTAAACACTGCCCCGTGTTTGTAACATAAAACTGCTTTATTTGAGTAGCAAGGGTGACAACATGTTCTGCTGGAAGTCTGAGGAACCGGTCACACTGCTGCCCAGCTCCTGAACCCTGGATTCTGTTGATCCAGACCTTAGAGTTGTTACCCTGTTAGAATTACTGTGACCTCTCAATTCTAATTTATCAAAGTACAATACAGGGAAGAGACCCAAAACAGTTCTCAGCCCATTGCAAGATATACCATCAGTGGGTCAGAGCACCTTGATTTTGGACGACTTAAGAAAAAGCAAAAACAGAAACCCATTGTTATCTCTCTTCATTGTCTAATGAAAATAGATCTTTTTGATAATCTTTAAGATCCAGCCATCTTTCTTATGTTAAAAGTTTAGACATTGGGGGAAAAAAAGTGTTATATAGTTAAGTAGATGTCTGAAACAGACCTTTATTCCTCCAAATGAAAATTATGGTGACTAAAAGATGAGAGAAAGCATATTTTTACTTTTGGGACTAAATTCCAAGCTGGGGAGACTTAATATACAGTGTACTCATGCCGGCACCTGTGGATCACCGTTAGTTCATTTTATTGAGAATAGGTTTGGCTGCTTCAGAGTTGGTGCCCAAACTTTAAGTACTAAGAGACTTGAAATTACTATATAATAAAAATTGAGGATGTCACCAAACCAATTCCGAAAAGCACCTATCTGTCTGCCCTCAGGAGCAAAGGTCCTTCACTCTGTTCACTGTTAGTGTCCAGGCAGCCTCCACAGGCCCTGCACTGCCCAAAAAGGCTGTGCGAGCTGTCGAAGAAGGCACAGAACTAGTGTTGGCTGGCAGTAGGTCTTGTCCATGGACACACCAGAGAAAAAGAAAGAAAACTACATGTCAGCACTAAGCAGTGAGAAAAAAAAATTGGAATGTGGCACTTTGGTTTATTGTTTTGTTTTTAATTAACAGCTCTTCCTGTCTCTGGAGAACTATAAAGAAACTGCATGCTGTCACATGATGAGTTAGAATGGACAGCGCTTCAGGAAGGACATGGGGTTCCCAGAGAGTCCACACTGACAGAATGAAGGAAGGACATGGGGTTCCCATAGAGTCCACACTGACAGAATGAAGGAAGGACATGGGGGTTCCCAAGGACATGGGGGTTCCCATAGAGTCCACACTGACAGAATGAAGGAAGGACATGGGGTTCCCATAGAGTCCACACTGACAGAATGAAGGAAGGACATGGGGTTCCCATAGAGTCCACACTGACAGAATGAAGGAAGGACATGGGGTTCCCATAGAGTCCACACTGACAGAATGAAGGAAGGACATGGGGGTTCCCAGAGAGTCCACACTGACAGAATGAAGGAAGGACATGGGGGTTCCCAGAGAGTCCACACTGACAGAATGAAGGTTGTTGATTTAGGGTTCAATCTAGATTGGAGGTACAGATTTTTGCACTCAAGGAAATCTTAAGTTGCCTAGCTAGCTTAATTTAAAAAGAAAACAGAAACACCCTAGAGGTAAACCCCAGGGATCACTGATTGCACTCCTGATTTTCTGTAGATTGAATGGAGAACTGCAGGTTGATGGGCATGAGGAAGTACTTCAGTGTGGCTTGGCATCTGTATTCAGATTAAATACATTTGTGGTACACGTTGAAACTAACTGCAGTTATGTTAAAGATCATTTCATAATCATAAGAATTGTAAGCACATAAATACTTGGTGAGCAATTTCAAAGATCAAAAAAAAAAAATCTAAGCAGGGTTTTTTAAAAGTACAATGACTTTTCGTCTTTTTCCCCTAATTGCATGGCTGTCTGAGGAGTGGCTGGAGATGTGTGGGAGGTGCCGCTTACACATCTTTATGACGCAGTTCCTTACTGGAAATTAGGGTAGTGAAACTTGACACACAGTGTGAAGACTATCTTCTTTATCCAGATTCATTAGCGTTACTTTCTGCTTGAGGGACAGGACCAAAAGATTTCTGCATCTGGCACTGGTTATCTTTACAGCAGGCACAGACTCTTTACAAGATGTGCTCATTTGTAAGAAGTGGGATGGACAGTTTTCATTCTCTTGCTTAAAAATAACTAGGATTGCATTTCTTTCCCATCAACCTATCACTCTAAGTTGGTAAGTACACACTTTTCTCATGTACCAAAAGCGCAGAGAACACTGTGAACATAGTAGAGCTGTCAGTATGTGCTTGCTTTAAGTGGACTACGACGCTGCTCCATCGGAACACCTGGCCACCTGTAAAAGCCCTACACTCAAGCTAAACAGAAAAGATCTTAGCAGCTTCAGTAGCTATGAATGAAATTGTGAAAACTCGTTTTGATCATGATAGTCCTATCCCAAATGGATTCTTTGCATTAAAACATGATGAATGATACTGTCTTGTCCTCTTTATCTCTCGTGGAGAACAACTTGTAAAGAAGGCATTGCAGAAGTTGACTTTGTTTTTAATAATGTACTACAATGGGCACAGGGAGTATATTTCATATTTCTACTGTCCACAAATTCAAATGTCTGTAATGTACACACTATATGCAAAGGTAAATAAGTGACTCAAAGACATAATTGGGGCAGTACATTACAGTGTGTACTGGACATTCTACAAAAAAGCAAGACTCCTGAAACCAAACTGATGAAGCTTTGCAACTACTGAAAGTAGTTAGGATTCTAGCATTAGATATTCCTTGTGTTTTAGGCAAAAAGCTTACCTGTGAAGACATCTCAAGATGTGGCTGGGGTCATGGCAGAACTATTGCAACTAGAACGCCATGACTTTCCTATGTACAACCACAGTGTCTTCAGCATTCCTGCGCCATTTACCCGTTCTGTCTATGGAAGGCTTTCCTGAATTAAAGTGCCCCTTTATATGTAGAATTCAAGTGTCAGTTAAGCAGTTCTAAATTCAGCCAACTGGGAAAAAAACAAAAAAGCCCTACGGATTTAGCAAACATTCTTGTGATATCCTCAAACTGAGAAACTGTCCATCTATTTCTTCTATAACACATGCACAGTGGCACATGGGCAGACAGTTATGAAATACCTTCTAGATTTTGGTCCAATCCATATGATAAACAAATTCTAAGTGACAACATAGCTCCTCCTATGTCTCCTTCCACTCAAAATATACAAAACCCTCTTTTCTGATTAGGAGGCAAAAGAAATAAATAGAATCAGTTCTCTCCATATATACACATTCACAGATGTATACATACGTATATACACACAATCAACACACATACAGCTGGACACTACCTGAACAACATATCAGGAGGCTCTGAACACCTGGATTCAAAGATGATCAGGTAAACTGATTGTAGAACTGATTATAGATATTAAGTCTTGTGGCTACCAGTCTCTTGAGAGCTTAGTATTCTGGTCTCTTTTAGGGGGAGCGGGAGGGGGTCCTCTTCTCAAGGTTGCATAGCCTGAAATGTGACTGCCTCCAAAGCCAGCCTTCTGCTGGTCAGACAGCAGCTCTGGTGGTGGTGGGGGTAGTGCCATGTCGTCCATGGTGGCTGTGGGTTCTGCTCTGGACATTCGTGAAGAGGAGAGGGAGCCATGCCGCGTGATAGACTTGCGCTGCAGTGTCCTGTTAAGATCAGCTAGGAATCCAGGCTGGACACTAAGGCTGGATTTGGGAGAGGTGGGCACTTGTGGCACAACTGTGGTCATCGCTGGCTGCTCAGAGATGTCAGCTTGAGTGAGGCGGGTGCTATCATTCCGTTTGGGCCGGGTGGGCGGGGCCTTCTTCACAGATGTTTTAGACCATAGCTGTGGCTGAGGATTAACAACTGCCACTTTGGGGGAGGTGCTTCCCGAGAATATGGCTGGAATCTCAATAGGGGGCAGAGGAAGCTCTATTTCAGGTGGAGGGGGTGGAAAGTCAGAATCGGATGGAGGAGATGGAAATTCCACTACGGAGTCCTTTCCACGCCCACTCAGAACAGAAGGCGTCGTTGACACACTCCCTTGCTGGTGGATTCCGGGGAGATTGACTCCAGAAAGGTGTAGTTTCCCAGGTTTGGGAGGCGCTGCAGGAGGAGGCGGGGTCTCCTTGTGGGGAGATCCCGATTCTGCTGGCGGTGCAAACTTGCTGACTAGACTGTCTACCGAGGGTCGCTTGGGCTCAGGGTGCTCGGCAGACTTAACGCTGGAGTTGCGCTGTGGGGTTGGGGGTGGTTTCTTTCCCCCAGGGCTGGACATCTTACTTGGCTTTTTGCCTGGAGATCCACCTTTGTCAGGGATTGGCGAAGCCACGGGTGGCACTGGGGGTGGGGGTGGGGGTGGGGCTGGGGCCGGGCTTGGAGGAAGTGGAGGAGGAAACACCAGGCTGCTCTCTGGAGGGGGAGGAGGGAAATCTGGGGAAGGGACAGGGATTGAGCTGGGCTGCCACTTGGGTTTTGCTTTCACGGCAGGAGGAGACTGTGGGGCGACACTTGCTGGGAGGGGTTTTAGGGGTTGTGAGTCCACAGGAGGAGGAGTGGGAGAGGGTGGAAACTGGCTGGCTATCTGCTTCACAACTGAGGGCATGGGGGACAACGGAGAGGGGGGTGGCTTCACCCCAAAGCTCTGCTGCTTGGGTAGTGTTGGTGGTGGACATGGAGCAGTCTGAACAGGGGGAGAGGGTGGAATGTGAGAAATGGGGAAAGCTGGCTGTTTCTTTGCTGGGGGCACTGGAGGTGCAGGGGTGAGTGGTACAGCCTGTGCCACTACTGATGGTACAGTTTTGGTGCTGGCTGAAAGAGGAATGGTCACTAGGGGTTTAGGGGGTGCTTGAGGAGGGACAACTGCAGGGATGGGAGGAGCTGGTGGGGGTGTGGGAGGTGCCACTTGATGAACTTGATGAATCTTCAGTGGAGGGGGTTGGGAGAACTGTGGCAGGGACTGGGCACATGGCACTGGCTTTAACTGGGCCATGGCTGAACCAGGGGTTGGGGGTGGTGGAGGAGGAGGGGGTGGAGGAATAACTCCATTGGGGGGCACCACAATTTGAGCCTTGAGGGACTGTGAAGCCAAAGGCGGAGGTTGCATCGCTGGGGGTGGCGGAGACTTAAACAGGGACCCTGAATGCTGAGCTGCATTTTGCAGCCTGGTGATTGTGCTGTACTTGACAAACATGGTGGCTGATGAGCCTGCAGAAGGTGCAGACTGGCTAGGGAGAGGAGGAGGAGGAGGAGGTGGTGGTGGTGGAGGCGGAGGAGGAGGAGGAGGAGGTGGTGGTGGAGGAGGAGGCAGAGGGGGTGAAGGTTGTGAGGCAGTATAAGGGGTGATGATCTTAGTTTGAGGGGACAGAGGGGGCATAAGTGAAGTGTAGGATCGATTCATAGATTCCATTCTGGCCTAAAAGGAAGTATAAAAGGGAGGTGGGAGGGAGAAAAACACAACAAAACAGTTACAGAGGTAAGCTTTGACTCTATCAAACTAAAAAGCAAGGGATCTAGGGCATGCATGAGGAGGATGCAGCAGCTGGTGATTATAAAGACAGACAATGTCAGGAAGGTTAAAATCTGATTCTCTAGGTAACAAGGATGCAGAAAGTTTGTTTTACCCTGCAATATTCTCTTAACAGCTATACTGACTAACAGTCTAGGAACAAGCTCCCGTTGTAAAGTCATTTGGGTGGTAACAGGATAGGTGATTTCTGACCTTGGCAATGGGACTTTCACAAACCCTGCCCTAGGTCCTCCTGGGTCAAGAGTTCACCTTCAGTCCATGACTGCATCCACGTCACGCAGATGCTGTCCTAGGGTAAGGAACGCTGGTGGAGTGAGGATAGCTTTTTGATTCTAGGAAGCTGACAGAGTGTGAGAATGCTCAGCAGTTGTACAGTCACACAGGAATGAAAGAACTCGACACACACACTTGTGTTGTGTGAAACACCTGCATCCAACATGCACACAAGCCCAGCAGTGCAAGTAAGGGGAGCATTCTTTGCGTTTGCTTTACTGGGAAGTACATAAAGAAATGTGCTGTAAACATTACAGCAAAAGATAAAACATCACACAGAAAAAGCCAGATGAAAATAAGAAGAAACTCTGTAGAACTAAGAGAAGTCATCAAGTAGGAGCTAGGGTTTGCCAGTAAGCTGCCGACCACACCGTCTGGGTAGTATTAGTATTGCCGAAATGACTACATTCGGTTGCTTGCTGCCTGAAGCAACTATGTATAAATCTCTGGCTCAAGGACTTCTGAAATAAGGAAATGAAGGAATTTTGATTTAATAACTTTGGGAACGCCTTTTGGGCTCTTATTTCTGTGAACTCTTTTCAATCACAAATGACACCTGATTGAGATGGAGGGTACTTAGAACTAAAGTGTTCATTCACAGAGCTGAATTCTAATGCCTATCAGGACGTTCACATGGTTCTCTAAAAATTATACATGAAAAGAAAAGCATTAGTTTGTAAGATTTGGTTATAGGCGTCACCCAGGTTAATGTATTTCAGAGAACAGCCCTGACCTTAACTTGACCCTGTCTTGGCTGCTTCAGGCCTGCTGACCTTAGCTGTGCGGGCCTTCTCATGTGGCACCTGAGACTGAGGTAACAGAAGAAACACACAGGATCAAGACTCAAACTGACACTACTGCATAGCAGGGTTGATTCTCTTTCGGAAACTACAGTGACAGACTTTGTTTCCTAATCACAGAGCCTTTGCTTTCCTTGATTTCACATGACAAACCTGGAGTTTGGTGCATGCTAGACAAGTGCTCTACCACTGAGCTACCTCTCCCCAAGGTGCAGCGACCATCGTGCATGAGGGAGAAGGGACATTTTAACTTGGAGAGGACCCAAGTGGATAAGCTCAGCTGTGGTTGCCCACACAAAAGCAGGTCAGCATTGTAGCGGAGAGTGGAAAGGAGTTCATGAGCCCCCACCCCTAACTGGGGAGCAGTTGACAGCTGACGGCTTGTTTTCTGTGATGGTGTGGCTCCTGGTGAAATGACCCATATTCCAGTGGCTCATCAGCTATGTATATATCAGCAGGACAGCTATGTATATATCAGCAGCTAGTCAGCTATGTATATATCAGCAGGACAAACTGGACTAAGTGAATTGTTGAAAGGAAAAAAAAGGACATGAACTCGGGATGTGAGGTGACTCTGGGGGGGAGTGGGGATTATTCTTAAAATACTTTGTAATTACGTCTGAAATTTTCCATATATATATATATACATATATATACATATACATATTATAAAACACACATATAATGTTCTTTTATATATAAGAAAAATTCTTTTATATATATATTATATATAAAACATATATAATATATATAAAAGAAAAAACTCTCAACATTATAGCCTGTAATAATGTTACTGAATATTAATTATCCAAGGCTCAGAAATCCAAAATTTTAAGAGTGAATTTAGCCTCTGCCATAACACATAGTTTGAGAAAATTTGTTGGGGTCTACAGACCTCAAGAATGAAAGATAAGGACTGAATCTGAACTAATTAAAACGATTAAGAATTGTCAGCAACTTCTCTGGGACTTTAGGGCAATGGCACTGCATGGTGTTGTTCCAGTGAACTGGTAATGCTGAACAGGGGAGGGGTCGCTGTAACTGAAAAATGTAAGCCGCTGGTTAAACTGCATAAATAACGGCCACTAAAAATCAAGATCTTCAACAGCTCTAAATGGTTTTCCCTATTATAGCATCAGTTGACCCTCTAAGAAGGAAGACTAAAATAGTGCCAGATGAGACTCTGATAAAGGAATACAAGCTATGCCAGTGGATGACCACAGACTTTTATGTGTAAATAAAATTAGTGTGTTACCTTGCTGGACTCTTCCAACTGAGTGCCACGCTTCCAGGCTTCTGAGAACATGGAGCTCACAGTGCTTTGGGAACGGATGTGTCCTGTGGGTAGGGTGTCAGAGACTCCACTGTCAGACTGGTTAGAATGATTTGACTGAGACTCTGTTTAAAATATTAAAAAAATTTCATCAGTTATCATTTGATCATATGGATATACACATTTTAAATGTTATGGGTAAACACTACATAAAATGGCAAATCAGCTCATCTTATTCTAAACTCAGCAAATATATTCTAGTAGAAAAATCTTATCTTACGATTAGTTTTTAATTAATTTGACTCTAACTTTTTAATAGTTCCCCATGAAAAACTGACACAAGTCAGTAGAACCCCCCCAAAAAACTGTCTTGGATAAAAATTTACTCTAAAAAAGTTTTAAAAAGAAAAGAAGAAGAAGAAGAAGAGGAGGAGGAGGAGGAGAAGGAGGAGGAGAAGAATTGCTGAGTCATTAATTACATCCACATTAGCTTAAGAATCAGGCTTTTTCAGCCATTGCAGAGCAGCTCATACATTCAGACTCTTCCTTAGCAATCAACAGTATTGAGAATAAAGATCTTCCCCAGGGATTCAGGTATGGCACCACTGAGCAGCAGTCATGCACAGCCTGCTTCCAGGCCAGGTGACAGTGGGGAGGGACAGGGCTGGGGCTGAGGCTAACAAGCACCTTCAACTGATATAGGGGCTGGAAGAACTGGAAAGATGACTTCCCAGTACGAGTATGTATGCACCTTATGTGATGTCTCGCAAGTAGTGGAGACTCAAAGCTCTTCCCAGACAAACAATCACCTTGTGAAGAATGGAAGCTATTAAAATAACCCAGTAGCCTAAGCCCCAACTTCTTCAGAGTTAAGACCATTCTTAAGGAATATGATGAAAAGCTATGACTATGACACTAGGCTCGTTCACTATCCCTATTTGACAAGAGCCTATAAGACTGGAGTACATGAAGCTTTGTGCTCTTCAACAGCAATCATTCTGATTTTATGTTTTATCCTAGAAAGTCTAACATTTCAATGAAGTGTGAGGATGGCACTAGTGAAGGAAAAGGCATATTATTTCATGAGGGAATGTATGTGAGCACTGGAGCTAAGTGCTACGTGACTGAAAAACAGAATATGCCTTTCCTCAACCCCCTGGCCTTCTCTGAATCCTACTTGCTGCATGGCTTTTTAACCTTGTCTTTCTAGTCCAACTTCTCAGCATTTTTTCCACTTTGATGAACATCTCATTTTAGATTTTTATACATTATTTTCAAATTAAAATAGAGTAAGTCTGAGTTCTTACCGATTCAGCATCTAATCTGTCCCATTACTCTGTTTATAGTACATTTGCCATAGCTATGAAAAAACACTGATTTACTAATAACTATATGTCACATTTCATATATCCATACTCTGGTCCAGGATACCACAATACAGTTCCTCTGAAAGTTGCTCCACTTTGGTCAGATCTCATCACACTGAATCAAGGGAACCTACAATCAATGGAACTAGACACTGCTTGTCTACTTTCTCCACTGTGAAGTTTCTGCTTTCTCAACCCTACTGCTTTTAAGGTCAATCACTATGTGTAGCTCTGCAAGAGGGCAACGTGTGCACAGAAATCACTTAGAAATATTTTGTGAGGCTGGAGTGTGTGCCGTTCTTGCAGAGGACTTGGATTCTGCCCCACACCCAAATTAGGAAGCGCACAGCTGCTGATAACTCTAGTTACATGGGCCCAGTGCCCTCTTCTGGCCTCCACGAGCACCTACATGTACATGGTACACACAACGTTTGTAGACACACACAAAGAGTTGGTAGGACATGAAAAGAGCTGGGGGAAAGGACATTTTAACTAAAATGTACTTAAAGTCTTTAAAAATATTTTGTATGGAAATTATGTTATCATGGATTCAAAGTGATATATCTGCTAATTTGGTTATAATTTTATACCATTGTATATTTCTTTTGCTCAAAGTGTTAGACACTGAAACTTTCTCCAGTTGGCATCTATGCCCTATGATAATCCCTTATCCTATTTTTAAGTCCTTCTGCTTAAGGCTCATCTCGTTTGTTCTCTACCACAGCTCTAGAACCAGCCACCTGCCCAAGAGCTCTGGTTCCTTTTGGTGACTGGGCTGTGGGCAGTCTCATTATTACTGGGGTGTCCCTTCTTCTAGACCCCATTCAATGGACAGAACCAGAAAATACATACTTACATATGTATACATTACATTTTCACAGGTTAGTGTTTGTGTGTACCACAATTCCAAATATTTTTTTTTTTTACTATTTAGAGATATTGTCAAATCATGCAATTTTAAATCATTAAACAATGATTCAGGGAAGATTCTGAAAGAAGCATTTTACGGAAGATGTGAGCACAGATATGGGAAGTTGTAATTCTGAACTAGCTAGAAGTGTTTTCCCAGCACGGCAATGTCAGGGATGTAGTATCCTGATGGCTTATGAGTACTTCTCCAAGTGGCTTCTATACCATGTCTTATTAGTTAGTATGTATGAGTTTTATAATAAACTTCATAAACTATTACAGTGCATTTCAAATACTTGTGAATAGTTCATAACATTGCACTTTTAACAGTTTTGTGGAGAAATAAGAAAAAAAGCTGAAATTTCACTCTTGATACTGGTAGTAAAATAGTGCTGTGTGGTACTTTTGAACTACCTGGGATGCTGGAAGAACTGGACCCAGATTTAATGCTGGAGCTGGATAAAGAAGTCCAATCATAAGCGGACTCTGTCCTCTTCAAGGCTTCTTGGTAATTTGTGTAGAGCTGCTTCCCATACTAAACAAAAGCGGACAAAGAGTGACATTAAACTCTGAACTGGTACGTGGAAGAATGTGGGAAGGGAGAGAAACATCTGTACACTACTTTATTTTCTACTAATACCTACAGTACTATAAATAGTCCTTAATTCTATAGAATTACATTCAAACTCATTTTCCTCAGTTGTAAGGACAGCAGGAAGAGATAATTTTATTGGTGTTTATAATAGAAATAAAAGTTTTATCACTCCAAGAGATCTAGGGCTAGATTCTTAGCACTATTCAGGGGCACTGTTCCAAATCTACTTGATAAATAACCATAACTTAATTGAAAGCTTTTTATTTGGGAGTTGGCGAGATCTGCTTAGGCTAAACTTGATGACATAATAATCATATAATGCGAGAGACCTGCCTCCCGGCTGCACCACCAGCCCCGCCACCCACTAGACTCTGTCCCTCCAAGACACACTCCACCGCACAACCCCATGCACCTGAACACCTTCCCCGAGGCCAGCTCTCCCCTGCAACCCCAGCAGACTAAACAGGCACAGACACAACCCACACCAGTTGGAAGAACAGATGAGTAAACAAACGCCAGTGTAAGAATACATCCAACAATCGAAAGAGCAGTGTGACAGGTGGAACCCAGGGATCCTATAACAGCAAGACCTGAACATTCTGATGCAGCTGAAATACACAAAAAAAGACGTCAAAAATAACTTTATGAAGATGAATTCCCTCAAAGAAATCAAGGAAAAGACAAACAAAAAAATTGGAAGAAATCAATAAATTCTTTTTAAAAAAGCAAAGAAAGCCAAGGAAAAGAAACAGGCAAAGGAATGGTTCAAGTCTTGAAAACTGAAACAAAAACAAAAAACATAAATGAAGGGAATTCTGGAAACGGAAAATCTGGGAAAGTGAACAGGAATTATGGATACAAGCATCACCAACAGAATAAAAGAGATATGAGACAATCTCAAGCGCTGAAGATAGAATAGAGGAAATCAGTCAAAGAAAATGTTAAATCCAATAAATTCCTAACGCAAAACATCCAGGAAAGCTGAGACACCATGAAGACCAAACCAAGAGAATAATTAGGATAGAAGGAGAAGACCAGCTCAAAGACACAGAAAACATTCAACAAAACTTTCCAACCTAAAGGAGGACATGCCTATAAAAGTAGAAGAAACTTACAGAACACCAAATAGACTGGACCAAACCAAACCAAACCAACAACAACAAAAGTCCCCTTGTAATATAATAAAACACTACAAAATAAAAAAAGAATATTAAAAGCTGCAAAGGACCCAGGCCAAGTTACGGCATATCTATCAATCAGAATTACACCTGAATTCTCAGTGGAGATGTTAAATGCCAGAAGGTCCTGGACAGACATTTTGCAGACACTAAGGGATCGCAGATGCCAGCCCAGACTACTACACCCAGCAAAACTTTCAACCATCATAGACAGAAAAAACAAGATATTTCATGATAAAACCAGATTTAAACAATACCTATCCACAAATTCAGCCCTACAGAAAACATCAGGAGGAAGACGCCATCACAAGAAAGCTAGCTTTTCTGCATCCATAAAAATACACGCAGCAGGTAATCTCACACCACCAAAACCCAAAGAAAGGAAATACACATACTATCACCACTACCATCACCAAAACAACAAGAAAATAACAGGAATTAATAATCACTGGTCATTATCATCTTTTACTATCAATGGATTCAATTTGCCAATAAAAAGACACAAGCTAACAGAATGGATACAAAAACAGGATCCATCCTTCTGCATAAAAGAAATACCTCAACGTCAAAGACAGACATTACATCAGAGTAAAGAGTTGGGGAAAGATTTTTCCAATCAAATGTGACTAAGAAACAAACTAAAATCAGTCAAAAGAGATAGAAGACATTTCATATTTGCCACAGGAAAAAAAAATCTATCGAGGAAATGTCAATTTTGAACATCTATGTCCCAAATACAAGGGCACTCACATTGTAAAAGAAACATTATTAATGCTTAAATTGCATATTAAACCCCACACACTAATAGTAGGAGACTTCAACACCCCACACCCCCCCCAATGGTCAGGTCAATCAGACAGAAACCTAACAGAGAAATAAGAGAACTAACATGTCATGACTCAAAGGGCTTAACAGATATGTATAGAATATTCCACCCAAACACAAAAGAATATACCTTCTTCACATCACCTCATGGAACCTTCTCAAAAATTGACCACATACTCAATAACAAAGCAAACCTCAGTAGCTACAAAAAAAAAATTGGAATAACCCCCTGTATCTTATCAGATCACCATGGTAAGAGTTCAACAACAACAACAAACTAGAGAAAGCCTACAAACTCATGCAAACTAAACAGAGTTCAAATGAATCATCTCTGGATCAAGGAAGAAATAAGAATATTAAAGACTTCCTAGAATTTAATGAAAATGATTCCACAACATACCCAAACTTATAGAACACTATGAAAGCAGTGCTAAGAAGAAATTTCATAGCACTAGGTGCCTACATCAAGAATTTGGAGAAATCTCACACTAGCAACTTGAAAGCACCCCTGAAAGCTCCAGAACAAAAAGAAGCAAATTCACCCAGGAGTAGATGGCAGGAAATAAAATAAAAACTGTGGGCTGAAATCAATAAATCAGAAACAGAATACAAAAAAAAAAATCAGTGACACAGTTGGTTCTTTGAAAAAAATCAAGATAGACAAACCCTTATAAAAATTAAAAGACAGAGAGAGAATATCCAAATTAATAAAATCAGACATAACAACAACACTGAGGAAATCCAAAGAATCTTTAGGTCATACTTAAAAAACCTCTACTCTACAAAATTGGAAAATCTAAAAGAAATGGACAATTTTCTTGACTAGATAAACAATTTAAATAAACCTACAACCTCTAGGGAAATAGAAACAGTCATTAAAAGCCTCCCAACCCCACAAAAAAAAAAAAAAAAAAAAAAAGGCCAGGGCGATATGGTTTCAGTGCAGAATTCCACCAAAACTTCAAAGAGCAAATACCAACATGCCTCAAGTTGTTCCAAGAGTATAGAAACAGAAGGAACATTGCCAAGTTCTTTTTACAAGGTTACAGTTACTCTAATACCCAAACTATACAAAGATACAACAAAGAAAGAGACCAGTTTCCCTCATGAACATTGATGCAAGAATACTCAATAAAATACTGTCAAATTGAACCCAAGAACACATCAGAAAAATCATCCAAGTAGGTTTTATCCCAGAGATGCAGGGTAGGCTTTATCCCAGAGATGCAGGGATGGTTCAACACATGAAAATCTGTCAGTGTCATCATTACAAATAAACAAAAAAGAAAAACCACATTAGATGCTGAAAATTACTTTCATAAAATCCAACATCCCTTCATGATAAAGGCTCTGGAGAGAAAAGGAATACAAGGAACATACTTAAACATAATAAAGGCAATATACAATATACAGCAAGCCGATAGCCAACATCAAATTAAATGGAGAGAAACTCAAAGCAATTCCACTAAATTCAGGAACAAGACAAGGCTGTCCACTCTTTCCATGTCTATCCAATACAGTACTCAAAAGTTCTAGCTAGAGTAATTAGGCAACAAAAGGAGATCAAGGAGATCCAAATTTGAAAGGAAGAAGCCAAACTCTCACTATCTGCAGATGATATGACAGTATACATAGATGACCCCAAAAATTTACCAGGGAACATCTGATAAAAACTTCATTAATGTGGCTGGATACAAGATTAACCCACAAAAATCAGTAGCCCTCCTATACACAAATGGTAAGTGGGCTGAGAAAGAAATCAGAGAAATAATACCCTTTACAATTGCCACAAATAATATAAAAATATGCTGTGGTAACTCTAACAAAACAAGTGAAAGACCTGTATGACAAGAAGTTGAGCTCTTTGAAGAAAGAAATTGAAGAAGGTATTAGAAAACAGAAAGATCTCCCATACTCATGGATCAGTCGGATTTACATAGTAAAAATGGCAATCTTACCAAAAGCAATCTACAGATTTAATGTAATCCCCATCAAAATCCCAACAAAATTCTTTGCAGATCTTGAAAGAGCAATACTCAGCTTCATATGGAAAAAACAAAAAATCCAGGATAGCTTAAACAGTTCTGTATAATAGAGGAACTTCCAGAGGTATTACCATCCCTGAATTCAAGCTCTACTATAGAGCTAAAGAAATCAAAACAGCATGGTATTGGCATAAAAACAGACATGTGGATCAATGGAATTGAAGACCCTGGCACAAATCGGCATACTTATAAACATCTCATTTTTATACTATTATACTATAGGAAAAAGAAAGGATCTTTCAACAAATGGTGTTGGCATAACTGGATGTTTGCATGTAGAAGAATGCAAATAGATCTCTATTTACTGCCCTGCACAAATCTCAAGTCCAAGTGGATAAAAGACCTCAACATAAATCGAGTTATACTGAACCTGATAGAAGAGAAAGTGGGAAGTAGCCTCGAATGCACTGGCACAGGAGACAACTTCCAGAATGTAATACCAGTAGCATGGACATCGAGACTGACAATTAACAAATGGGGCCTCCTGAAACTGAAAAGCTTGTAAGGTAAAGGACAATGCCAATAAGACACAATGGCAGCCTACAGAATGGGAAAAGAGCGTCACCAACCCCATGTCTGATAGATCTTCCAAAATATATAAAGAACTCAAGAAACTAGACATCAATATACCAAATAATTCAACTAAAAATGGGGTAGAAATTTAAACAGAATTCTCAACAGAAGAATCTCAAATGGCTGAGGTACACTCAAAGAACTGTTCAACATCCTTAGCCACCAGAGAAATGCAAATCAAAATGGCTCTGAGATACCATCATACACCTGTCAGAATGGTTAAGATCAAAAAACACTAATGATAGTTTATGTTGAAGAGGAAGTGGAGTAAGGGGAAGACTCCTCCACTGCTGGTGGGAGTGAAAACTTATACAGTCACTTTGGAAATCAGTATGGCGGTTTCTCAAACTGGACTCAATCTACCTCAAGATTCAGCTATATCACTCTTGGACATATACCTAGGCCCTCTGCATGTGGGGGACAGTTGTGTAGCTTGGTCTTTTGTGGTCCCCATAGCAGTGGGGTCAGGACATGTCCCTTGCTCATGAGTTGGCATTTTAGAACCTATGCTGCATGCAGGGAAGCCTTGACAACCTTGATGCAGTGGGGAAAAGCTAAGTCCTGCCTCAATATGATTATGCCTTGTTGACTTCCCTGGGAGAAGGAGTGGATATGGGGGTGTAGATGGGAGGTGGGGGAGGGAACAGAAGAGAGGAAAGAGGGGAAATCGTGCTTGGTATGTAAAATAAATTTTAAAAATTTAATAAAAAAATCATAATGCATGCTCCAAAGTAGAAATAAGTCACTCTGATACCACACAAGTTATTTCCACCAATATCATTCCAGGGACATAAACATATTTTGCAACCTCCATGGAAAATAAGGCATTTAAAACATGAACTTAGGAAACTAGACACTAGCAAAATGATGAGCACGAAACAACCAGAACCATCATCAACCCAAATTACCTAATTAGCCATTTCATTATTCCAGCCTCAAATGAAAAAAAAAAACTGTACCTTTGCAATTCGAATCCCATTGACCCACTGGTGCAGAGTCCTCACATCATCACAGCAGAGGTACTTGATATACTGAGACTTCTTCTGGATCTGTGGGTGCTGCCAAAGGAAAGCAGAACCCACTAAATCTAGAGAACTGACACTTAACCCTAAGTCATGGTCTTAAGAAATGGCAAACCAGTGCAGACTTTTTCTTGTTTTTTTTTTTTTTTTTTTTTTTTTTTTTCAAGACAGGGTTTCTCTGTGTACTTCTGACTGTCCTGGAACTCGCCTGTAGACCAGGCTGGCTGCACAAACTCAGAGATCTGATGGGGGAGTTTTCTGTTTTGTGTTAATTTCATTGGTTAAATAAAGAGACTGTCTTGGCCCTGGTAGGACAGAAAATTAGGTAGGTGGAGTAGACAGATAGAATGCTGGGACAAAGAAGCCGAGTCAGGCAGTTGCCATGATTCTCCCACCTAACACAGACTCAGGTTAAGATCTTCCCTGGTAAGCCACCTCATGGGCTACACAGATTATTAGAAATGGGTTAGATCAATATGTAAGAGCTAGCCAATAAGAGGCTGGAACTAATGGGCCAGGCAGTGTTTAAAAGAATACAGTTTCCGTGTAATTATTTCGGGGCATAAGCTAGCTGGCGGCCAGGAGCCGGGCAGCAGGAACGCGGCCCGCTGCTCCTTCAACAGAGATCCGCCTGCCTCTGCCTTCCAAGTGCTGGGATTAAAGGCATGCACCACCATGCCCAGCTCGGTAATACTTCTTATTTAATCATAAAGTGGAATAAAACAGCCCATACTTATATTTTTTTAAATAAAGTATAAATCATGTTAAATTTTATGTCAAGTTGTCCACGTAAACCATCCCACTTGGGAAGTTCATAAGTATTCCCTTTTACATATCTATGAACAACTCTATCAAGATTAAGTCAGCAGAATTCTCAGTATGTAAGACTGAAAATGGAAGAGAAGTGTTTATCCAGGAAATCATGGTTTAGAAGGAGACGGTCCTTCCCTGGGAGTCAACACCTACACCAGGCACGTAAGGAATATATATGGCACCCTTAGGACAGAAGTCCATGGCCACACCTGACTGGTGGAACAATATTTTGTAGGCTTCTTTCTTTACAAACTGCAGCGTGTACTCTTTGGTGGGATAAGAGGATAGTGTTGAAGTTTACTATTTCCCTGCAATATTTTCTTTATTAGAAATTAAAATGAGAGGAAAATAATTAAGATAAAAGAACACAACTGTCCCCAAATACCTCTTCATAGTTAAGATAGGAAAAATATCATTATGGAACCTGTAAGAAAATTCCTCTATACAGTCAGAAAACAAGAATGTTGAGGCAAGTAATATCTCAGTATTACAAACCTCATGTTGATATAATGGTCTTTGGGTTTCCCAAGGGACCTTGGACTTAACAAGCCACTGGCTGAAGTTACCCCTATCAACTTCTTAAGAATTACTGGCTAGTGTATGGTGACACACATTTGCAACCTCAGTAATCTGAAGGCCAAGGCAGAGGAGCCCAGGTTTGAAGCTAGATTGGGCTACACAGGAAGGCTGTCTCAAAAAGATGAAGAAAAAAAAAAAACTAAGACAAATTAAAAAGCAAAAACAAACTAAGCTTCAATGATGCATTCATGTTGTCTAAGAAAGTTTATTTAGTACAGGACTGTTATTATATTACATCCATTTTTACCAAAGAAATCAGAATCCCACCCCAAATTCTAAACAAATGGTACTCCTTAAACCCAACTAAGGCTTCTCACAGAAAAAGAGTATGATACAAACATGCAGACCTAAGTAGTACTGAGAGTCCTGAAGATGGAGCCACTGAGTATTACTTAATTCTCTCAGTAACTTTTCTTGAATCTTTGTAGGCTGCTGTGGGAATTCCTTTAGTCAATACCTTTAAGGTCACATGATAAAGATATAACCCTAACCTCACGTGGTATATATATATATATATATATATATATATATATATATATATATATATATATATGTGTGTGTGTGTGTGTAGATGTAAAAGCATGCACGGCCCTTTTTGGCTATTGGGTTTGGTCCCAGTTTCACACCCACGCAGAGGACGGCTGAGCACCTTTTTTTTTTTTTTGTGAGTCTACCCCTAAATAATAAATAAACCTCCATTCTGGGCTAATGTAAGACTATTTTACTATAAGCTGCAACAGTAGGCTATCTTTATAAATGTTAATTTATATCGCTGAAAATACTAAAAAGTGCCCACTCTCCTTTAGTGTATGGCCACAGTTAGGGTGAGAAACTTAAAGCCTGACTGATAGAGAAGAACACTCCCTAATAAAAGCATAGATAACAGACTAGGATGGCTATAATTTGGGGGGAAGGTATAGACAGACCTGGTTATTCCTTAACCAGATGAAAACAGGAGAATTTTGAACTTGGGAATAGTGCCCTCTTCAGGTTTTACTAATAAAGTTGAGGAAAACCACAAAAAATAAATGTCTGATGGTAAAACTCTTTTTCCACGACAGGGTCTGGTTCCAATCCTGATGATCCTGAGTGCTGGGATCACTGGTATGAGCTACTAGGTCACACTCTACTTTTACCTTGTTCTCCCTGGTGCTAGGATGGAGCAAGAAAAAAAAAAAAAACCCAAAACCTTAATACTTAACTGCTGAGCAACGCCTCGTCCTCTTATCTTTTTACAAAGACACAGAACCTACTTGAAGATCCAAATGTCAAGTAACCTCTACCTAATGCTGATCACAATTGCTGAGCTGTACCTTTAACGCCAGACAACAGTCTGTGGGTGCTTTGTACTTGCTCCGATAGTCCTGCCCATAGTACACATTAACATGATCCAGCTGAAGAAAGCACACCAGTTCCCGAGATACCTTAAAAACAAAACAAAAAACCAAAGATCAATTTAATAATGCAAATAAGCAAGTATCATACCAGGTAAGAGTTTTCAGTTGGGAATCAAACCTTTATTTGGTAGAAAGTAAGAACATAAGATTTTTCTTCGTTTACAATATAGCCAAAAAGGCAGAGTACTTGCTTGAAATATGTAATTCCTAATGAATATTGATTTAGAGATGTTGGTACTTTAAACATGCTATACACAGTATCCACATCACATAACAGCCATAGTTAACAGGTACAGGTAATAGCAGCACTCTTAGGAAAGAATAAGAATCTATCAAGTAGCTGAATGGCTATAATGCCAGCTTCAAATACAGAGATTCTCAACTGGGAATCACCTCAGCAGGCAGAGGTGATGCTTACACTCATAGTTTTTAGGACTAGGATGATATTGTAAATGCTTAAATTAGCTTTGAACCCAAATAAGCACAACTGGTAGCGTATACCTCAGCAAAACCACATTACTCAAGATTGAAGCTAACGTAATCCTAGAAAGCCATTCTCCCTAGATCAAATGCACACAACTCTAGCAAGACCTTCCCTACACCTCCCAAATAATAAAACTATGTTTAGCTGAAATGGTGATGCATACCTGTAACCCCAGCACCTAGGAAGTGGAAGGGGGGAGTCAAGAGGACCAAGAGGTCAGTGTCATCCTAATCTCCATAGTGATTCTGAGGCCAGCCTGAGCTACATGAAGAAGATCTTCCCATTACAATAACAAATCCCAACAGGGGAAAGATAGTAGAGAATTGAGATAAACCCAAATAAAGGGCAGAGAAATGAACAGTTTTTAGCTTTCTCTTCTTTACAACAGATAACTACACAAAATTATCTTCTGTGTGTCTTACACAGGTACAATGGTATTGTTACTATGGAGACATTGCAGCTAGCACAATGTGTAGGAAGCACAGAAGTGACAAACCTTTGCTTTTCCTTTAGGGACATAGTAGATGCCAGATGCTCGCAAGAGAAAGTAACGCTTCTTCCAGGACTTCTTGCCATCGTCTTTTAACCAAAGGACTCCTTCAATTTCTGGGACAGTTACAGAACTTCCACAAAAACATTCCTTTAAAAAAGAAAATCATTTGGAAAGATTTATGATCTTTATATTTTCAGAAAATGAATTTGCTACTCCTGTGAAATGCGTAACACTAAGTAAAACAAAACAGTTTTGTATTAAAACCACACCAGTTTTCTGAAAGAACTTTCTATTCTAAACACAGTAGGAAAGTACTTTAGAATTACTGTGGCAATCTAAAGTGTTTATTAATAAATATGTGTCATGGGGCTGAGAAATAGCTCAGTGGGTAGAGTGTTTGCTGGCAAGCATGAATACCTCAGTTTGAATCCCACCACCTATATAAGAAGCTGAATATGGCTGCACGTGCTTGCTGGGTAGCCAACTTAGTTCAGAGGGGCTAAGGTAGAGTGAGAGAAGATACCTGGCATTCTCCTCTAGACAGGGGTGTGTAATCCTGAATGCCCATGTACATACTCAACACATACACCATAGCACACAAGATGTCTGACTCCACAGTGCTGAGATTAAAGGTGTGTGCCACCACTGCCCAGTGGGAAATATTCTTAATTATAGTCATGACAGAGGCAGGTGGATCTTTGTGAGTTTGAGGCCAGCCTGGTCTACAGAGTAGGTTCCAAGATAGCCAGGGCTATGCAGAGAAATACTGCCTCAAAAAACAAAAACCAACCAAACAAAAAAGAATATTTTCCTATGAACTCAATTGAGTTGCATATAATACTACTGAGTCCCACTTCTTTTTCTTTGTGTGTTTGTGATGTGTGGTGATATGGAAGTCTGGAGGCTAAAGGCTGATGCCAGGTGTCTTCTTCAGTTGCCTTTCACCTTAGTTTCTGAGACATGGTCCCTCACTAAGCTCAGAGGATAGGCTGGCTGGCTAGTGCATGCCAGGAATCCACTGTGATTACAAATGCACAGTCCTCTGCCTGGCTTTTACTTAGGGGCTGGGGCTACCAACTCAGCTCTTCGTGCTAACTAAGAAAATACTACTGACAGTGCTATTTGACCCTCTGGAAAAGCTGATGTAACCAGCATAGGCATATTTTAATTCCTCCTATGTGGAAACCCTTAAAAGGTCATTACTCCTTTTAATCTACTAGAATATTGCTTGGCAAAAAGTAGTTTGTAAGAGGTTTGTTAGGGACTCAACAGGTACACACAGTTAAAACACTGACAGACCTGACTTCAAAGATGCTTAAAGTTTCAATTTTAAAATGAGCAAGAAAGGGAGAATGAGCCACACCTCTAACAGCACTTCTTTGTTTCTGTCTGCCATCTCAACTGTTTCCTTTTTCCCAAGAAGGTAATTCTAAAAAAAGAAAAAGAAAGGGAGGGAGGGAGGGAAAGAAATGAAAATTAAACTCATTCCACTATTCCCTTGGGAGTAAACACATACATCATTTGCTCTAGAAAAGTAGCCACTCCAAGTTTAGTTCTGCCAGTACGTAGGGAAGGGAAGTATTTCATGAAGCTCCTTCCATGTAAGAATCATCATTAAAATGTTCCTCATCTTGCCCAAAACACATTCTATGAAGTATTTCATAGACTGTTTCTTCCACATTCTGAGGTGACAATATATGCAACAGCAAGTATTTCGGGATATTTAACTAGTTATATAAAACACCCAAAAGCATTATAAAGTAGAATATGAGATATGCTAAACCAGCATAGTTCTATTCTGGATCTAGCATGCTGTTCCAGATGATGATTAATATTCTGGCTTTTTAAGAGGAAGCCTCAAATTCTGCTATGACTATAACAGTTTTGCTTTTTAATTAAAATCTGAATTGTAATTATGAGTATAACTATTCTTTCAGTCTTCTACAAAAAGATCTCCTGACATTCCTGAACATATACTCTTCATTAACCACTGTTGAGGGAGCTGCGGGCCTCTTCCCACAGCCCGGCTCCCGGCCGCCTGGCTAGCTTATGCCCCGAAATAACAACACACAAACTGTATTCATATAAACACTGCTTGGCCCATTTCTATTAATATGTGTAGCACCCCAAGGTGCGCTTACCGGGAAGATTCTAGCCTACGTCCATCCTGGGTCGGAGCTTCATCGCGTCTGCCCCAGAGAGGAGAGCTATCGAGTCTGAGCTCACTTCCTCTTCCTCCCAGCATTCTGTTCTGCTTACTCCACCCACCTATGTTCTAACCTATGAGGCCAAGCAGTTTCTTTATTGATTAACCAATGACCTTCCCACATCAAACCACCATAATTAAGTCTAGGGTAAACGGACCACCTTTAACACTACTGCTGCTGACCAACCACAGTCCAGTCTGCAGGTAAAAACCTTTAACACTACTGCTCTTTTTTCACCACCGCTTTGTATCACAGAGTTCTTGCTTTTCTTGACCGACCCGGGAGGAGTGGGGCAGGGGAGAAGGGAAGGTAAAAAAGGATGAGAATAAAGTCTGTCTGGAAATGGTAAATGAAGCACATTACTCCATCTGCTAATTTAAAACAGGCACAGGTGTTGTGAATGCTAACCCAAACATTACACTGTCATAATAAAGATGACAAAAAAGGCTATTATGTAACCCATCAAAGAAATTAAAGTAATTAGCTAGGTAAAAACCTCTGGCCTGCTTTGGGGAAATGAGAACCTCAAATGTTAATGAACTTCTGGGCTCAACAATCTCCGGATTTACAGAGGAGAAACCTAGTAATACCCTGCAATTATTTATATTTCTATCAAAGTTTACCCCATGTGGGACCCAACACCTGGCTCCCAGTTACTTTTCAGTCATGACTGTTCCCATGGGGGTTTGCAGTTACAATGCCCAATCACGTGGCTTTCAGTCTTTTAACTCTACCGACTCCGCATTTACAAGTTAGTCAGTCTTACCTGTGGGTTTTTAAAAAGTGCATATTTTTCTATACGTTCCATAAATATAAGCTTGTTTTGGCTATCTCTTGTCCAATTAAGAAGATTTTCAACTAAGTTTTCATGGTCTTCAAATATTCTCTCTGTTACAAAATTAAATAACAGTTTTTTGTTAGTATTCATCAGACTTACATGAAAGGCAAGATAAGTCATAGCAGAATTATGGAAAGCTTAAAGGCTGATGATGGCACTGTCTTCAACTGCTCTCCACCTTACATTTCCAAACAGTCCCTCCTGAACATGGAGCTCACTAGTTCAGTTCCGCCATCCTTCTTTCTCTATCTCCCCAGGACTGAACACATGTTTCTGTGTGGATTTTTTTTTTAAACGTGGATTCGGGTGGTGCTGTGTGTGTCAGACTAAAGTCTGTGTACACACACACACACACACACACACACACGAAACAATACTGAACATGTGTGAGAAGTGCTCTTTCTAATTTGCTAATGTGCTTTGTTTCCCTTAGAGTTGATGACTCCTGCATAAAAACACCAGTAATTGTAACAGTACTGGGGCCGGAGAGAGGGCTCAGCACTAACAGCTTCTGCTGTTCTTGCAGAGGATCCAGGTTCAGTTCTCAGCACCAGCGTTAGGCAGCTCACAACCACCTTTAACTCCATTGCCACAGGATCTGACACCCTCTTCTGGCTTCCCCATGCACAAGATGCACACACACACACTCAGACACATAAAATAAGTGAAGGAAAAGTAACAGTTTTTAGTAAATGTATTTGTGTAGCTCTTATTTAAAAGAAAAAGCATTTTGTTATTATTAAGAAACTTTCCCTTAATCATTTTAAAATACAAAGTGAACTGGAATTCATCTTTTAGTCAAAGAACTCTCCAGCTAAAAACTCACCAGGAAAAACATTAAAAAGCCAAACTTTAAAAAGATAAAGTGCCTGATAATTTTATAGAAAAAAAATCAAAAATGTCTCAAAATGCTTCTATCAACATGAAGATTAAGGATTACAAAGACGCTAAGAAGCAATTAAAGCAGCAGGGTTACTAACCCATTTGTAACTCAGAAATGGTCTCTACCAGCGACCAGTCTAAACTGTAGCCACAGTGAGATTTGTCCATCAGGTTATCCAGCACTTGTCTCACGGTTTGTCTCTCATCCACCATCATGGTTTTAGAACTGTCATCAGACATGTGGACCCTGATCACCAGCTGCAACAGGGAAAAAGGCAATTAAATGGTAACCTTAAAAGACGGTATTTCAGAAAAGTATTTTCCAGCATTAAATAGCATTCTGAGTCAAGTCTTTAAAAATGAATTAAGACATATGACTATGTTGACTTTATTATTAAAGGTAAAATCTGAATATCAAGAAACCTGCCTACAGGTTTTTAATTTTAAGCCTTTAAAATATACAATTATTGTGCAAATCTTACTGATTTGTGTTTGTTTTAAAAGTAGTGTGCAGCCTTTATTTAACATCTGAGGGATAATGTGGTCAGATGTGCCACCAGCAGTGGCCTAAGTTAGGCCCTTCAGACCTGCGCAGAGACAAAGGCTGTCATAAAACATCTTCACAGACCCTCATGTGACAGATAACAGAACACATTTTCACCTTTCCATAAACTAGAGGAACAGTATATATAAACAGTAGAATTATTCATGAAGCAAGACAAAACAGGAAAAAAATCGTAAATATTTCAAACCTAGCGAAGAGCCACACCACACATCACCTTTTTCACTTGAGCCTCTTTAATTTTTTCCAGGGCAACTCTAATCTTCTCAGCTTTCAGTTTTGCCGCTTGTTCCTCCTGCAAACACACAGCATTTCAGACAAACTGCTGCCGAGAGGGTAAAGACACCAGGCTTCATTAAAGGGGCTAGTACTGAATTTCATTCAGAACATATCGTTGACGTTTTATTTTTAAAACGGCCCTGTTCACAAAATGAAGTAGACATATTGTAACGAGGGAGCACGGGTACGAGAGTAAGATTAGATTTCATATTCTAGAAAAAAAAAATCCATGATGAAGTAAATTAAGTTCCATTCTGTCAACTAAGTTCAAGTACTAGGTTTGGGGAAATACGATATATATGCCGCTGCCTTCCTATCTGTTACACTCAGACACCTCTGAATTCAGACCCCTCCAGAGTTTAGGCAGGATTTTTACAGTTTTGTCTTGTTACACTGAAAGATTTAGATCACTGTAAAAGTATATACAGCAAAACCAATCTACTTATTTACAATAATATAAAACCCTTAACAAATAAAAAACATAGGTATTAATATGAATTCTTGATAATATGCTAATACAAACAAGAGGCTGCTTTATATTTTAAGTTTTACTGATTTGGAAAATCATGCCAATTATGTCAGTAAATTCTAATATTTTAACCCATCAATAAGATCTTTTTAAATGTTAAATATAACTTTACAAATAACCCAACTGTAAGTAATTCTACTCTAGAAAACCTATTATGAAATAGTAAAAATTTTAAGGAACTAAAAAATAAAGCATTGTCCATTTTTCTAATAGCATAAAGTATTCTACACTAGTTAGTACTTACAGGTAACTTCCAGCAATAGGATACAATAAACAATATAGTTATAATTTCCAATTTAAAAAGCCCACATAAGTAAACTTGTTTATAAAGAATTATTTTCTATCTCTAAGCTTTTGATTACGGTTACAAAACATCAAATATCAATATAACTGTCATCTTCTATAATCCTTTTATATGTCTTTCTTTAAAAAAACAAAAACAAAAGGAAAACCTAATTTTATCAGTCAAACTTCATCCTCTCTGGATTGTGCCCAAATCCCTCAATCCATAAAAATCATAAAAAGCTAATACTTCTAGGGTAGGAAAACTGAAAAACCAAAAAAGCTAAATCCATTTACTGACTATTTTTCTCTATCCACCAAAATTTTGATGGCTTTCTTCTCTTTCCATTTTCTACTCAGATGCCTCTCCTTACACGCTTAAATTACTGCTGGGGGTGGGGGGGTGGGTGGGGGAGCGCTCATGCACAGAAACTGGATCCCTTTCAATGGGAGCCACTAAATCAACAGACTGACTAAGGTCTGGGAGTACTATCTGTAAACCCAACAGTCAAAAAACAAAGAACTTTATTTTAATAATGAAGAGGATTAATACTATTTAGTTCTTGTATTATTATAGATACATGCCTTTGACTGAAAGATTAATTTACTAGTCTTCTCCTTTATGCAAATAAATAGCATTATAAAACATGTAGATTACATTTTAATATAAGACTTTTTTTTCTTTTGAAAAACAGGTTTAAGAAACTTAAACTAGTGTTATTAAACCTGTTTCCAGAATGGAAATGTTTCTAGAACTAAGAAACAAAATCATTATTAAGTAAACCACCAAATATGCAATTTTGATGAATACATAAAAGTTCTATAATGAATTTGAAATACTTTAAACAATTATAAAACTGATGTCATAAAAAAAATCATTAGAAAGCATTCACCATTGCTTCATTGCTGTATTGGAATGAAAGACCACTAGAGACTAAGAATATTAACCAATGTATTCATTTATAAATTTCATTTATGTCTCTGAAAAGTAAATTTGAAATTTATTGTGAAGAAACTGAATTGGAATCAATGCTTTGTATATTTGAAATACCAAAGTGAATTTCTAAAAATAAAATATTTAAAAATAAACTTGCAGTTATATTATGTTTGGCCTCCATGTATGTGTGTGTGGTGTGTGTAATGTAGTCTATGCGTATACTGCCTGTACAGACCAGAAGAGGACACTGGATTCCCTGGAACTGGAATTACAGATGGTTGTGGGCCACCATGTGGGCTGGGAATAGAACCTGGGTCTCAAGAAAACAGCAATTCTTAACCACTGAGTCATCTCTCCAGAAAAGACATTGAAAAGAGGGCCAATAGTCCTTCTTGTCATTTGGGAAGTGAAAGTTAATTTAAAAAAAATAATATACATTTACTACCATGCCTCAAATCTAAACACCAAGTGCTAATGAGGATGTGGAGCATAAAATGCATTCACTATCAGTGAGAACCCAAAGTGGGTCAGCTGCTTTGGAAGACAGCTTGGCTGATGCTCACAAAATTAGATGTCCTCACACGGGCCAGTGATCATATTTCTAAATATTCACTCAGATCAGCTGCAAGCTTTTATCTACAGAAAATCTTCACATGTTTATGTATGCTTTATTCATAATTACCTGTACTTGGAAGCAACAAAGATGCCCTCTAACAAGGGAATGAATAAATTATGGTGCATTCTGACAATGAAATATTATTCAGCACTAGAAAGAAATGAGCTATCAAGCAACAAGAGGGCAGGGAGGGACTGTAAACACATATTAATAAATAGAAGAACCCAACCTGTAAAAGTGACATACTATATAATTAATTATAACTGTACTGTTCTCTGTTCAGCTGTTGTCAGGTTAAAATGGAAATGAGGTTATTAGCCAGACTATAGGGGCCTTGCAGGGCAGTAAGACTACTGCTTGTCATATTACAATAGATGATTTATGTCAGCATGTCAGAACCCAAAATTGCTCTAAGATGTCTAAAAAAGAATAAGCAAAATTAAACACTGAACTTCATCAGTCTCGCTACAATAACCGTATCTGCATGCCTCCAGTTTATTTTAGTGTACTACTGTTTGTCACACTCCATGACAAGTGCGGCTTAATTAAACTCAGAGATTAGTTCCTGTTCCACACACTGGAGTGTTGAACAATAAGAGAACTGGATAACTAATTCACGTTTATTTATCCAATCACACTTCTCACATATCAATAAGGATACTGCAAAACAGGTAAAGCTTTCCAAAAAAAAAAAAAAAACCAAATTCACCCTTTCTTTTAGCTACAGAAACTGGTCAATATAATTTCCTTTTAAAAATTGTTTTCGGGGCCTTGCATATAAAAAGCAAGTAACTATCACTGGGTTATATCTCTGGTCCTTATAAATTGGTCTATGTAAATAATATCACATTTAAGAGCTAGCTGTTTTAATTTCAGAAAAACGCGAGTTTTAGTTTATTCTTTCTGAAGCAGAGAAAACAATGGTTACTGCTAGCATAGTTTTCTTACACCTTGACAGACTCTGGAGGTTGGGTACTGGAGTACTAGGCTTTATGGTAGAAAGCCAGATTATTCCATAGATTGATGTGTTAGAAGTATACATACTTGGGGCTGAAAGTAAAGATCAATGGAGGGTATATAAAAGGTTCAGGATTCAATACCCAGCACCATAAAAAGAAGGTCACATAGTTCACAAGAGCCGGGTGCTCTGACAGAGGGCACTGACAATAGTCAGAGTAAGGTGCATCTGAGCTCCATGGTCTGGGTTGCTTAGGATTATACACCACCTCTTCCACGGCACTATTCCAAGCCCCTTCTTAAGTGTTTGGATTCTACACGACTGAATCACATTCTTGCTCAAATTTCTTACCCTACAAGCAGGGTACTATGCCTGCGTATGCAGTGGTATATCTGGTTAGCAACTGTAGGTAGAAACCTTTCATATTTTAGTCTGTATGGCTGTTTCCTTGCCAGATGGGGATATGAAGTTGGGAAGAACTTGCTTACTGCCCATATTTTCCAGGACCAGAGACATGGGCACATAAAAGGTACTCACTCAACACTAGTTGAATGGATGACTACTTTCCCCCAGTAGCTCCCCACTGCATTTATAGAAATATTAAGGTCCTAGCAGGCCTTGATCATCTCGTTCTTGTTTGTGCTTTTCAACACAAAGCAAAACACTTGTAACTCCACTTTATTATGGTCTTTTCAACAATACAGACTGTAGCTTCTCAGGTATGACAAACCCTTGTTTTCTCAGCCTTCCTATACGGATCATGCCTTTCTCTTCATCTGTTAGGCTTTAGCTTCAATTTCATCCTCTAAAAGGGGATTTTTCTGGCCTCACCATCAGTGAAATATTCTGTTTATCTTCTCCTCAGGATTCTCTACTCCTTGTTTCCTTCATAGCACTTAATATAATTTAGGTATTTTTGCGTGTTTGCATATAGACATATGTGTGTATATATTTATATTAATGTTCTCTCTCTCTCAATTCAGGATCTCCTATAGTCCCAGGCTGACCTCAAATTTATTGTATAGCTGAGGACAACCCTGAACTCTTGATGCACTTGCCTTTATCTTCCAAGTGCTAAGATTACAGGAGTGCACCATAAGGCCTGGAAACTTTATACTTTATCTTCATAATAGACCTTAAGAGTAAGGACTATGTCCATTTTATAGTGTGGTATACTAACTAGTACTTCATAGTACAAAGGTCAATAAAGAGGAATAGGCAAGAGAAGTGGTAAAATGTTAAACTCAATCTGGGAATAGTCTAAGAAAAAATAGAAACAAAGCTGGAGACAATTGTAATGGTGGGAGAAGTGCTGAGGGATTGTTATAGTGGAGGCAATGGGAATGGAACAGATGGGTAAAGTTTGAGAATTACAGCACGCTCATTTTGGATTTGAGATACTAAGTGAGAAGTATAGGGACAGGTGATCAGAATGCTCACTCTGTATCACCACAAGAGTGGTGGTAAGTTGTGGGGCTCCAGAGAGAAGATGGATGATTTTCTGCAGGATTTAAATGTTAGTAAGTAAGACGCTGATATCCAGGAAGCCCTAACAGCTATCAACTATCTGGAAATGACATAGAGACAGCGCACAGGGCAAGATCTAGCACTCTCTTCTAAAACAGATCCTAGTCAAGCCATGAGGGTAGACACGGGTTAGAAAGTACATGGACAAAACCTGCTTAGATTTCTTCACTGCTCTGATTCTGGATTTGTTTTTCGAAAGGAAGTTTGGGGGAAAGAAATGGTCTCACTAATTATTCTGTCAAAAAGCCTTTTTCTTTGAGCTGCTTCTTAGAGGAATTTTGACTTTAGTCAGTTACCTTCTCTCCAAGTTTATGCTATGAATTAATGAAAGGGAAAAAACTCTCAGATATAATAACATATATAGTAGCTTCTACACTGTTTGTTCTTCAGAAACTAGAAGTCTGGTAGTCTTGAACTTACTATTGTACTATTTAAATAAGATAATGATAAAGAAAACTCATTCAGCTCCTTGATTACTGTTACCTAGTTAATAATGAGAATTAATCAAAGATTTTAAGTTGTAAAATAGGATCCCAGTAAAATCCAACGAACTGAATCAAACTGAGGGTAGAGAATTGAGAAATTCAAATTGTGATCTTCTCTTCCGGTAAGACTAGGTTAATATAAATCAAAATTCTATCTATGTAAGTAAATGTTGTAATTAAACCAGAGGTAATAATGTAAGTAAGAACTGTTAAAGCTTGCAAAAGAAACTCATAGCATAAAACAATTAATAGCAAAAGTTAAATTAAAGCAATTTTTTCAGGCTTTGAAATACAATAGAAAATTAAACTAGAGGAAGTACAACATATTTGAAAAAATACTAGGCATCTGTAGAAGTTAGAAACAAGTGGAAATTACTGAACATATTTTTGGCTCTGATTATTAACAGTCATTAGGTTAGGAAGACAATAACTTTTAGCAAGAGAGAAAGCAACCTGTACTAAAGACAGTGGTGCTACTAATAAGAGATACGAGAATGCAATCCCAACAAGAGATTGTATTCTGTCTACAAGGCAGGGAATAATTACATGCACATGGGAAACAGTGACATCACCTTGGTCAGCAAATGAGAAGGTTTTCCTGCAATGTTTCTCAGAAGAAGGGAGGTTTCCCTGTCCAGATAGGAGTGCTTAAGCAGAAAGAGAGAGAAAAAAACGAAAAAGGCAATAAGAGAAGTCAGTGGAGGCTTTATGTGTCTTAAAATAAAACAGAGCAAGTCTTGACTCTATAATTAATCACATATCTATTTTTGTAAACTAAGTGAAATATGTCCATTAAGAAAAAAGTTATTTTAAAAAAACTAAACCATCACTGTCAACAACAGAAAGGAGAAAGAGGTGCCCACGGATGTGCTTCAGGTGAAGGGCTGATTTCTGGCTCTGTGTAACACATGCAAAGATCCCAGAGCCAGTCTTGTTTACAAGCAGTGGTCAAGAGTGCTGTGCACAAAGCACAAATAAAACCATGCCAAAGGCTGACGTCTATAGCTCTTCCTATTAATAATCCGCAAAAGATTTGCAGAGATTTAAACAGTATACTGTGTTTAGAACACAAATATTTAAAAAGCTGGCAACCATTTCTCATCACTTCAATGATAGCCACACCAAGAGGAAAAACACCCCCATGTATTTTGCCTGCTATTTTGTTTACACTGAAACTTTATTAACCCATTCATTACAAGACAGTGTTACACAGTGAAGGACTTTCATAGAAAATGAACACTGAATTTCCCTTGAGCTGATTTAAACTATATTTATACCTTCTTAGTAACTTAAAAAAAGATTAATTTTATTTATTTATTTATTTTATTTTGGTAATTTTAAAGACAAGGTTTCTCAGTAGCTATGGAGCCTGTCCTGGAACTCGCTCTGTAGACTAGGCTGGCCTCGAACTCACAGAGATCCACCTGCCTCTGCCTGCCAATTGCTAGGATTAAAGGTGTGTGCGACCACTGCCTGGCTTCATTTTATTTTTAATTATGTGTCTGTGTGTGCACATGAGTACAGGTGCCCATGAGGGCCAGATTTGTTGGATACCCTGGGGCTGGAGTTGCAGGCAGGTGTGAGCAACCTGCTGTAGGTACTGGGCAACAACTCAGGCTCTGGAAGAGCAGTACACCCCTCCTAACAACTGATCCATCCCGTGATAAATAACACATTATAATGCAAGCATATGTAACTATATTTATCCTTAAACTGAGACTGTTTAGTATGCATATCATTGGACTTGCCTGTCCCTTAATAAATGTGAATTAGTATTTAATGCCATGTAATTACTTTCCCTACTGAAAGGAGGTATTGTACCAAAAAATGTTTTTATAAATCTAATTGTATTTAAATTATTCTGTCAAGTAATTTGGAAATAAAGTCCAATGAATAGGTACAAGACCTGTAGACACTTTCCCAAGTCTATATAGATGATATAGCATATTACCTAAAGATGCTAACTTAAACTTAGCTCAGATCTATACTACATTGAGTCTGTTACATAATACTTGCTTGTACTGCTAAACTCCGTTTTAGTTCAAGATGAATCTATAAAAATGACCCCTTTCATCCATTCCTCCAAAACAACAAAAGAAAGAAACCACTAGTGTGTGCTAAAGGGGATTCCTCATGATCACCACTAAAAAGTTCAAACATTAAGAACAGAGAATTATTCCTAGGCCCTCATTTACAATATATGCCACAGTCTTGCCAAAGATAAAGACTAGTTATCTCATCCATAAAATAGTAGGTAGGGAGAAGTTTCTGTGAGCCACCATGTGGTTGCTCGGAACTGAACTCAGGACCTCTGGAAAAGCAGCCAGTGTTCTTAACCTCTGAGCCATTTCTCCAGCCCTGGGAGAAGTTTCTGAAAATTCAAATTTAGTTAAGACTACTGTTCAGACAAGACTAGAGAGAAAACAAAAGAATAAAGTCTAAAAAGCAAAATTTTTAAATGTCACCTGTAACGTCCACTGCTCTCATTCACTCATTGATTTCACCAGTCTAGCTAGCTAGCTTTTTCATGGAATCCTGTCTTTGTCTCCAGTGGCTGGGACCTACCACACCCATTTGGCATTTATGTGGGTTCTGGGGATCCAAACTCTAGTCCTCATATCTACGCAAGAAGTGCTTTTTATCCCCTTAGCCATCTTTCCAGCACAAGAAAGTAATTTCTGGAAAGCTTATCTCAATTTATCTTACAAAGGTTACCTTTCAAAAAAGATCCCCAAATAGTGGAATATCAATATTCATGTAACCACACTTCAAGTTTAATTTCTTTTTACAATTTTATTTCATGTACATGTATGTGTAGTAATATGGGGCGGCAGGGCTGCGTCCCCCACACCCGGCCGCCCACATGGCTAGCTTATGCTCCGAAATAACAACACACAAACTGTATTCTTTTAATCACTGCTTGGCCCATTCTCTTCTAGGCTAATTCTCACATATTAATTTAGCCCATTCCTAATCATCTGTGTGTAGCACCCCAAGGTGCGCTTACCGGGGAGATTCTAGCCTAGTCCATCCTGGGTCCGAGCTTCATCACGTGTGTCTGCCAGGGAGCAGGGCATGGCGTCCCTGCTGAGGCGTCTGCTCCGGAGAGCAGAGCTGTCGAGACTCTGACCTCACTTCCTCTTCCTCCCAGCATTTTGTTCTGTTTACTCCACCCACAGGGCCAAGCAGTTTCTTTATTGGCCAATGACCTTCCTCCATCATGTATGCACATATATCTTGGTGGTTCTATGGGGTGTGTGTGTGTGTGTGTGTGTGTATTGGTGTATAGCATAAAGACCAGATTACTTGCAAGAATTCAGTTTTCTTCTTCTACCATGTAAGTCCTGGGAGTCACACCCAGGTCACAGAGCTTGGTGACAGGTGCCTTTAGTCACTGAGCCATCTTGTTAGCCTTGCATTTCCAGTTTTAAAAAGTGAAATTTGCCTCATGCCATTCACAAAAGGTATGATTTGGTAAAATAAAATTCTAGACATTAATTCTAATGTAATTAGAATTACATTAGATATAAATATTTTGGCACCTGGTTTTCAGAAAATATTTTGGTTGTTGCTTAAGAAACAGATCCAGGGGACCAGATGGCTCAGCAGGTAAAAGTGCTTGCTTTATAGACACATTAACATAAACTCAAATTCCTGAAACTTAGGTAAAAGGCTAGATAGCCATTTGTAATCCCAGTACTCCTATGGCAAGATTTCCATGGACAATATAATTGCCTGGTATACACAGTAAGGCAGAGCAGTAAGGGAGATGCTACCTTAAAACATTCTGAAAGGAGAGAATCGACTCCCTAAAGCAGTTGTCCTGTGACCGCTCTACAAGTGTGGTGGAATGTGCATTTAATAATGTATTTTTTTTAAGACATGGCTATGAGATAACTCAGTGGTTAAGAGCAACGGTTGCTCTTCCAGAAGACCTAGGTTTAATTTCCAGGACCCATGTGTGGCTCACAGCTGTCTGTAACTTCAGTCCTAGGGGAACTGATGCCTTCTTTCAACCTCCACAGACACCAGGCATGCATATGGTGCACAAACATGCATGTAGACAAAAACGCCTATACATATAAAGTAATTTTTAAAAAATAAATTTAAAAAAGACATAATTTGGATCTCAGGGGGGAAAAATCAATCTAGAAATATATTATCATAATGCTTTTAGTGATTTACTATAGGTAATAAAAATTTGACTTATGAAAGTACAGTAATGTACTTTTCTAATGAGAACAATATTCTGAAAGTAAAATAATTATTTGGGTTGAAATTTTTACTAAAGAACAGGACATGGTCCACTAGAAAAGCAGAATGCTGGGGTATTTTAAGGGAGGACAGACCCAGTTCCTTCTATTTAAACTATAGGTGTATGAAACAGGGGGCACCCCATCTAGAAACCAGAAGCTGAAATCAATTCTCCTTTAACTAAATGCCTATGTTACCTGTCTCCCTGTAGTATCAGTCAGTCACATGCACTCCTTCTAACTCCTGGCTTTCAGAAGGAAGAAGGAACGAGCCTTCTCAGTGGAGAAAGATACAAAGGCAGTGAAAAAAGGTGTACGTGCAGTTAACAGTCACATGTGGCTAGTAAACAAAACATACTTTGGCCAGTGAGATGGTGCAGAGCTTGCTGCAGAAGCCTGATAACCTGAATTTGATTCCAGAATCCATGTAAAGGTGGAAGGGAAGAACCAACTTCACAAAATTGTCCTCTGCACTCCATATGCACACTGTGACAGGCATGTACATACAAACACATTAAAATAAAAACTAAAGTTCCGGTGATGGTGGTGCATACCTTTAATCCCAGCACTTGAGAGGTACAGACAGGCAGATCTCTGTGAATTCGAGGCCAGCCTGGTCTACAGAGTGAATTCCAGGACAGCCACCTAAGTAAGTAAATATAGATAGATAGATAGATAGATAGATAGATAGATAGATGATAGATAGATAGATACTAAGGCCTGTATGTTTTCTTTTATTCTCTCTCTCTCTCATCTTTCAGATTCTAATGTCAAGCCTGCTGTCAAGGCAGGCACTGTCAGTCACTTACCAGTTGCTTCCCACACTGCCTGGTCTGTACCTCTTATTAACCCTGCAATGTCTACTGACAACCACAATGAGGTGTGTTAGGTGGCATGGGAAGGAGGAGGGGAGTACCTATGCCAAAACCAGGGGCTTAGGAAAATATTCTGGAAAAAATATACAGTCTTGAAAAATGAGAAGGAGGCTAAAAAGGATGGAGTAGAAGAAATGAAAAACCAAGCACATATTTAGTGGTTCTCAGGGCACCTCAGAAAATGACGACTGTGTTTTGGCCATTGGGTTAATAGTTTAATATTGAGAAGAAAGTCCAAAGTGTCAGATATCTTAAAGCATGACACAACAACCCCTAAGAGAACACAACCCATCCCACAAGACATTTATGTCCTTCCATGGAAAATCATATAGATAAAAAACCTTGCATATCTTAATATACAAACACAAAGTAATTTGTATGATATTAATTTTCAATGAATTCTGGAATATCTTGTCTTATGAAATTGAGGAAATTCTATACTTATTATGTTTAATATCAAATATAATGAGTTTGATTAACTTTCATACATATAAATACGGTACTTTGCTTATGCTCACC